TTAACAACTCTTAAAACTTTTTTTCTCTCTCCCACACCTTCCATATTCTTGTAGAACGAATGACATAAGCAAAATTAATCTAATTACGCTGTGGCTTTTAGGTCCCGCACACACTATTTTATTATTCTGTAGTGCAATTAGAATTCTTATACCACTGTAAATTTAATGAGGCATAAGGCAACATTATTATGTGGACAACAAAGAGAAATCGAAGGCGTTATGAAAGCAACGAACAAAAAAACCTGCTGTTTATTGAAGGTCGATAAAAGAAGGAATCTATGTATTGGCTGTTAGATCATAAATTATGCGTGATATACGAGTATGTCATTGCCAATGGTTATCAACGTAACAGGAAATTTCGATTATTAAATATAAATTAAATTGTTATGTAAACAAATACATATGAAGAAATATATATTCTTCATGTTGTTTTCTTGTTTTTATTCTGTTAGACTTTGCATTTTTGGCAATTGGCACAGTGACACATATAAACGCCCATTATGACCTTGCATTGTTTAGTGAAAAAAATATTTGTCATAAAAAAGACGAAAAGAAAAATGCTATGAAATTTGGCAAAATTTTGTTTACTATGTATTGAAAATATGCAAAAGGAATAAAAATGTATGCTCCAAATAAAGTAAAATACTGTTCTTAATAAGATTTTGGCATTGAGTTTGTTGAATAATTATCTTTGTGTATGGTGCCAGTTTTTTCGGTTCATATTTAAAAGTCGTCAGTTATAATTTAGAGAAATATTGTAAATTTACAATACATTGTCAAGGCATAGTGATTCCAAATTTGGTATTACCAGAAATTGTAAGAGACCAGAAATTGTAACTTCCAGCAAACTCTTACCGATTGAGTTTTTCATTTCAAAACGTCATTCTGAAATTGTAAATAAAAATCCTTTTACATAAGACTTTCCTCTCCCCTAGACTTGAAAAAAAATATAAACAAGTTTTAACTTTACAATTTTGACTTTGAATTTTGATATGCTATAGCTTTGGCTCAGAGAGAACATCTACTTTCTCAATTTTTTTGTTGCAAACTGGTCAGGCTTAATCCCTTTATTGCTGTTATACCCTCCACCTTGCAAAGGAGGGTATATTAACTTTGTCATTCCGTTTGTAACATCCATAAATATTCGTTGTAGACCCCATAAAGTATATATATTCATAATTAGCATAAAATTCTTAGTCGATTTAACGATGTCCGTCTGTCTGTTCAAATCACGATACAGCCCACATTATTTGACGTAGAGCGTCAAAATTTAGCAGAACTATTTGTATTGAGTCTAGAATGGTTGGTATTGAAAATGAGATATATCGATCCATGTTTTGATATAGTCCCATGTAACGGTACCTCCCGATATTCGGTATTTTGATTATTTTTGCCACATTTTTTCACGGATTTGTCTGAAAATTGGTATTTGAAAGTCATAATGGGTCCTAGTTCGTGTGGCGAAATATTGCATGTAAGGGCCCACGCTTTGGTATAGCTCCCATATAACGGTACCTCCCAATATTCGGTATTTTGAATAAATAAAAATTGGTATTTGTCGGTTATAATGGGTTCTGCCTGCGGTGGCGAAATATTGTATGTATAGGTCCACGTTTTGGTATAGCTCCCATATAACGGTACCTCCAGATATTCGGTATTTTGATGATTTTTGCCACATTTCTTCGCGGATTTGTCTAAAAATGGGTATTTGTGTGTCCTAATGGGTTCTAGCTCCGTTGGCGAAACATTGTATATATAGCTTCACTTTTTTGTATAGCCCCATATAGGGATACCTCCCGATATTCGATATTTTGATAAGTTTTGCCACATTTTCCCACGAATATGTTCTAATGTTTCCTTTACCCTAAGATGGAGGACATTAAAAGTTCGTCCCGGCAGAACTTAATGTTTTTTTACTTGTTTTTATAAAAACAACGTTTTTTTATTAGTAGAGAACGATGGTTATGTTTACCAGGGGTGTTTACCATCGTTCTCCACTAATAAACAAAAGTTGTTTTTATAAAAACAACAATAAAGGAATTAAGCCTGACCATTTTCCAACAACAAAATAATATGGTATCCCGAACAAACAAGACAACATTGTTTCTCAATCTTCGAATGTAAAATCAATAAAAGTGAACCACTTAGTTTATATTTCGTTGCGAATGGGTTTCCAATTTTGCGAATGGGTTTTCAACCAAATTAGTTGCAATGTTGGGGTTAAAGTTCCTAAAGGATTTAAACTCTCTCTATCTACAGGGGACTCTATGTCAAACGAAGAACGGGTTTTGGCCCTTTGTCTCTTTGGACGATATCAGTTTCAGAAAATTTTTGAGTTGGGCGATAAATCTCGAGGGGAGTATCTGATTTGATCCAAACTTTGCACGTCGAGTAATAAGTTAAAATATGGACAAACACGGTTCACACCTTTTGCTACTACTCTCATATAAAAGCGAAGGCTCTACTGGATATAGGTAACACCTTGCGCACATTAATATTTATACCAGCCATAGGTACGGTACGAAATTGGAAAACATTGCTTCACTCCTTCTTCTACCATCTTCTCCCACAATAGGTCAATATTTTGAGCAACAACCTCCGAAAATTGTGAAATTGGGATATTTTTCCCACAACTTATCCAAACTTTGCATATCGTAGTACTTTTTTCAAACTGAAATCAGGCAAGAAAATCGAAACAAATACCTCCCTCACAAAAAGTTTAAAACGATCAAAACGCTCAAAATAGATTTTCTTCAAAATTCGTGCATCCAAATATTTGTACCTACGTCAGACGAAGTGTAAAAATGGGATGCATTTTTGAAAGTTGTAAAACGTTAAATTATTTTATGATTTTCACAAGCTTACTTGGCGGATATATATAAGTCCTCGATTTTTTAAGAACACCTTTAAATAGATTTTCTATGTAGATAAAAAACAAAGCCAAAATTGAGAATTTTTAAATGTCTATTGCACAAAACCTGAACAAAATCGTGAAATTTTGTATAAGTTCCTATCTAAAACGCAAGGCTATTTTAAAATAATTTCAAGGAATTTCTGAAAATTTCGTAGATTTTTTGAAGAATTTTTTCAAAGACCTCATGTCAAGATAGATAAAGGTCACCCTGATAATAAATCATTGTTTTTAAGAGTATTTATTATCTTTTTATGCCATATAAGGCTTGTCATTCCGTTTGTAACTTTTCGAAATATTCGTTGCAGTATTTGTACGTGAGAATAGAATGCTTTCAGTATCCGCCATTTTCTGTGAGAAAGTTATATTACACAACTTATTTGCAGAAATTTCTCCGGCAAGTCTGTTAATTATCAACAAAAGATCTATCAACATTTCTCTCTCGAATCGCTCCCTTTTGCCGGACATCTAATTATTTTTTAACTGCAAGACTTCGTTTTTTACGACAAACTTTGCACGTGTTAAACTTATTTTGGACTATAAAATGATTAAACCAAATATTTAGTGTTTTGAAGAATGTGGACATGAATTAGATCCTTCCTCCCTCTTCTTACCGACAAATTCGGAAATTTCTCATTAAATACATTCAATGTCTCCCACAAAACTTATTAAAGTTCTGTCTACACTTACTGTTAAGGTCATATGTAGAGCGACTTCCGCAACTTTATCGTTAGAATTTTTATAACATACTTTTAGGCGTTTCCCACAAATGTTTCAAATTAAAAAGAACCTCCTACTAGTAAAGTACAACTTATTATATTCATAATTATTGTATATAGTTCATAGCGAATCTTTTAATTTTAAAACTTATTGCGATCTCTTAAAAGTATACTATAACAAGTAAAAAAGTTGTAAGTTCTGGGCCGAACTTTGAATACCCTACACGATTTGGAAGGAATTTGGCAACTTTCAAAAATATAAAATCCGTTAAAAGTTCTGTTAAAATCTTAAAAATGCCGAATGTAGCCGATATATTAAAGTCTATACCACGGCGTGTACCTGAATAGGCAACTTTTGCCATAAGCCATTACAATATTCAAATGCGAAACGAAACAAACTGGTGAATAATGTTGCTAAGATCATCAAAATACCGAATATAAAGAGGTACCGTTATATTGGGGCTATACGAAGACGTGGACCTGCACATACAATCCATTACGAACTTAAAATATCAAATTTGAAACAATTCCGGTGAATATTGTCGCTAAAATCATCAAAATACCAAATATCAGGGGGTACCGTTATATGGGGTCTATACAAAGACGTGGACCTGCACAGACAAAAGTGTGAAAGGTTATTAACTGTGAAAAGGTCACTTTACATATATCTAAAATTATGCATAAAACTATCCTTTAAGGCTAATGAGCATTTGAATTTTTAACGGCAATTTCAAAATATCAAAATGATTTTAGGATATGTAAGATTTTATTTTACCATTTTACAATTACCGAACATTGTCGAAATAATTATGAAATCCGATACGCCAACATCACTTCTAAATTCATACAGATGTCTGCACCTGATTGTTGTGATGCTATCGAAATAGGCATAAATGTTGTGAGAACATCTACCACTTTTTCCTCCCATATACCTACCTAAACACTAAGATAGGTAGTTGTGGTATACACACACTGGTAGATATATACAACAACAACGACAACAGTGAAAGGTGTGCTCTGGTGGAGACATCGTCTGTCTACCCCCAAAAAACCAGCAACGCGTCCGCGCCATAGCTACTCCTTGCAAAAAGAAACGAAAGAAGACCAAAAAACGAAACACAAACAAACATTAACCGAAACCGACCGACTGGTAAGCATCAATGCCAAGAGCAAGAGAACAGATGTATTTAGCTATTGCATAAGTCCTCTTCCTTCCTAGCCTCCACCACCATCATCTTCGTCATTGAGAATTAGGTTATTCATAATTTTTTCCTACATACATATGTGTCATTATATCGATATAATTATTATTATTCTTTAAACAAAAACAACAATAAATAGAACAACTTATTTTTGCTTGCTTTACTTACAGAGGACGTGAGAACATTTTGCCAAGTTTGATGTGTTGCTATGTTGTTGTTGTTTCGCCGTTTATTGTTGCTATTACTGCTAAAATAAAAGCTTTGTTAACAATTTCTTCAATTTTTACCAAAACGCGGGGAAGGGAAAACAAATTTAAAATATTTTTTCTTATTTTTGCTTTAGTATTCTATTTCCTTTTATTAATACACTTTTTGACACAAGATTTATTTATGATTTCATTTTATAGTAGGATTTTTTTGCTATATTTATTCACAATTTCAATAAATTTCAAAACACTTGCGGTTTTGCACCAAATAATTAACACACCACAACGTACCACTAAGAACTCCGCACAGGAACCAACTCAACCGTTTTCGTTGAAAGAAGCTTTTCAACTGAAGGGTGAACAGCAGTGATAGACTGACGTCTATCAAAAGTTTTTTCTGGCATTAGCACACGAGCTGACGGCCAGCTGAAATGTTTTGCACACAATGGCAGCAAACGGGCGATTTGCGGCAGTGATGAGGGTAGCACGTCGAAAGGTGGTGGAAAAAAGCAATGAAACTTGATTTATTTTTTTTTTAACTTTAATTTCAAACTGAGAGAATATTTATTTAAAAATACTGTTACTTTTACACTGAACCATGGCACAATTAAAAAGGTATAGTCATTCAAAAACAACATTTGGAAAATGAAAGGTTGTCAAATGAATAATTTCGAATACGAAAGTAGACATGATATTCACTATTTTCGATAATAAAATTTAAGTGATCCCATGGCAAAACAATAGACGTAGACTCATTTCCCAAATCGAATATGAAAACCCTTTTCTAAAGTACTCGACCATGTCATTTTTCAAAAAAAAAAAAAAAATATATATATATATAATAATAATATATAAAATTTAAGTGATCCCATGGCAAAACAATAGACGTAGACTCATTTCCCAAATCGAATATGAAAACCCTTTTCTAAAGTACTCGACCATGTCATTTTTCAAAAAAAAAAAAAAAATATATATATATATATATATATATATATATATATATATATATTTTCGGCGTTCATAGACGCATAAAAACAGTTATATGTATATGGTAAAATTAAGAAGGTAAAGTAATTTCAAATAAGCATACCCATCTCTGCATTTTCTGTAACTTAGATTGTCAAATTTCACGGATTCCCATCTTTGATGTGTCGATTTTCACATTCGTTGTAAATGCCGCAAAATGATACTTTGAACACAGACAAATGAAGATATAGACAACGAAAAGTTAGTTTTGTCTTTTTATCCAGGTGGCTCTCATCATGTTTTGCATAGTCAACATGAGTTGTGTTCCAGAACCTGCAAATTAGTACTAATTAGCACTAATTCTGCTACAACGCGTTCCCGTACTCCAAAAACTAGCAAAACTTGCAGCTCTCTCTAGAGAAAAAAATGGCGCTGAGTGGTGCACATTCTGCTTGTTTTTGCTACATGAATTTGGCCGAGCAGAAATGTGCATATTGTAAATTTGACATTTAATTGGCAGGGCTAACAAGGTTGAAAAATGTATTGATACATTTTAATAAAGAAAATGATCAACTTGAAAACTAAATGAAAAACTAATATTTGTCGTGCAAAAAACAAAAAGAGAAAATATGGAGCAACTGATGTATTCACTTTTGGATGATTCCAGCAGTGAAGAGGACTGGCTGAATGAGGAGTCAGATTTGTAATTATTATTATAAATTATTATTTCCGTTCCCTTATTTTTTGAGCAAACCTAAATGAGAATGACATTTCGAACTGTTCTCTCTTCTGCTAGTTTTACTACTAAAAAAGTACTGGAACACAACTATGCTGATTTACGCGTTCAAGCCACATTCATAATTAAACCCATGGTAAAATTTAGAAGGTAGTCATTTCAAATATACATACCCATCTCTACAATTTCTGTAATTCACTATGTCAAATTTCAGTGACCAGAAAACAAATTCCCATCTCTTATTTGTGTATTTACTATGGATTTATTACTTTGAGAATTAGATTTGAAAAAAATTAATAATTTGAAAATTATGTAATCTTATGACTAACCTTCTATATTATACGATGATCAAAACTTGTATGTTAATCTATAAATCTTCCTGGATAAAAGACGTGAAAATAACAAAATATTTGGTGGGAAAGAAATCGAAATTTCTTTCCAGCTGTACGCTCATATTTAAGGGAGAAATACACATTTTAAATTTGACAATTTATGAGGCATCAAATAAGACAGATTTTAATCGTATTCTTACATGATATTATATTTTTAATTGGACGGTGAATGATTCTTTTAAACTTCAAACTTTTCGTTGTTGCCGTGATGTACCAAATAGCCAGCACTTTATTTTGTTTACGAATGAGAAACAACAATGAAGAAAAGGAAATTGTGAGCATGTGAGTGTGAGAGAGGATTTGCTTAATTAGTGAGCATAGACATAGACAAATGAAAGTATAGACAACGAAAAGTTAGTTTGGTCTTTTTTTCCAGGTGGCTCTCATCATGTTTTGCATAGTCAACATGCTCATTTACGCGTTCAAGCCACTCGACTTCGAAAACACATTTTATCGTTTTTCAAGAATTTCACTGGAATATTCCCATATTTTTCGATGTCATCACGTACTTTTTACATTTCTTTTATTATGAAATAATTTTCAACTGACAAATATCCTACAGTTTTTGTTATTTTTAACATTTTTGAATTGAGTGACTTCAAAATTCCCACTCAAACCCCTGAAACGATATCGACGACATCTGCTGATCCGATTTTTTCGAAGATAAACGGTGAGAGCATTTCGTTGTCTATACATAGACAAATGAAAATATAGACAACGAAATGCTCTCACCGTTTATCTTCGAAAAAAATCGGATCAGCAGATGTCGTCGATATCGTTTCAGGGGTTTGAGTGGGAATTTTGAAGTCACTCAATTCAAAAATGTTAAAAATAACAAAAACTGTAGGATATTTGTCAGTTGAAAATTATTTCATAATAAAAGAAATGTAAAAAGTACGTGATGACATCGAAAAATATGGGAATATTCCAGTGAAATTCTTGAAAAACGATAAAATGTGTTTTCGAAGTCGAGTGGCTTGAACGCGTAAATGAGCATGTTGACTATGCAAAACATGATGAGAGCCACCTGGAAAAAAGACCAAACTAACTTTTCGTTGTCTATATTTTCATTTGTCTATGGTCTATATTTTCATTTGTCTATGTAGTGAGTGTAGTGTCGTAAACACAGGGTGACATTTATGATGATAAAACATTCTGGCAATTGATTTACCTAACGTTTACACAAGACATATAGTAGGAGTATTCGTCCACCGAAAAAAAAACTGAAAAAGTTTGGGGAATTTGTACAAATGTCACCTCTCTGGGAGTAGCTCCTATTCCGGACATGCTACAATTAATTTTAGGACAACTATCAAAACATATGTATAAACTCATACTAACACACAAAAAGGCATCGTCGCCTTCTTAAAATAATCACCCAACTGATGACCAAATTATTGCCCACCAAACCATGGTCACTACTTTCTCATTTTCCACACAGAGACCCCTCGAACCGACCATATCCATCACTTACCTTGTACTTGCACCTCATTTAATAAAATCTAACACTTCATTATAATTTTTCTATAACAACAATACATCACATTATTTACTGATAAAAATTAAATGAAACAAAACTACACAATTACAAGTAAAAAAGCTGTAAGTTCGGCCGAGCCGAACTTTGAATACCCTCCACCATTTGGAACGAATTTGACAATTCTCAAAAACAATAACTCTGTTAAAAATTCTGTTAAAATCTTAAAAATACCGAATTTAGCTGTTACATTAGGGTCTATACGATGACATAGACATGCATAGGTAACTTTTGTTATAAGCCATTACAATATTCAAATGCGAAACTTAACAAAAAATAATCGGTAAATAATGTAGCTAAAATCATCAAAATACCGAATATCGGGGGGTACCGTTATTTGGGAGCTGTACGAAGCTGTACGACCTGCACAGACCATTTTCTGTCATATGCTGTAGTATTTATTTCAAACTTCAAATACCAAATTTGAAACAATTCCGGTGAATAATTTCGCTAAAATCATGAAAGTATCGAATATCGGGAGGCACCGTTATATGGGGGCTATAGCAACACGTGGACCTGCACAGACAATTTTCTGTCATAGGCTATAGTATTCTGGGACAATGAACTGCCAAACCAATTTTGAAATTGAAAAATTTGAATGAAAAAATATTAAAATTTGTTGAAAATGCATGTATAACAACCTCCGATTGGTGTCGTATAAGAAACCATATAAAAATCTTCTTAAGTTTGAAAAAACATTTTAAAATTTTTGACATATCAATGTATTCTTCTACCATGTTTTTTTTCGAAGAAGCCAGCCAATGACTTAAAGGTGAGAATACATAGCCGTTGACTTAAGTCAGTCAAAAAAGCGTTTTATGTATTGCCACCTAATGTTATGTTTACGTTAGAACTTTTTTCAGGGTTAACCTACTTCAAGAGGATTTATTGAAGTATAAGTAATGGATATGACAATTTTAATCCAAATCCAGTGGGTTAACGCATTTATATGTAAACGTACTGTTAATCCCATGTTAGAAGAATACAATTAGTCGCATCGACACAGCTGCCGGGAAAATGAACTGTCAAACAAATTTTGAAATTTAAAATCTTGAATGAAAAATAATTGAAATTTGTAAAATCTGTTGACAGACACATACCATAATAACCTCTAATTTGCGCCGTATAAGAAAACATAAAAATTTACTTATTTTTGACAAAACATTTTAAAAAATTTTGGCATATCAATGTTTCAAGCGTTGATACATCATATACCTGTATTCTTCTGCCAACCCTTAAGCCATCCAAAGAAGCGTTTTATGTTTTCTCATCTATACCCAGTTGTAAGATTAAGTTCCTGGTACAATTACTAAGGTAATGACATGTGATCATACGATAATAATTTTTGTGATGTTCCTTTATTGTGAAAAAAATTTTTGTAGTTCTTCCTTAGATTTGGGCGTATGGCTGGCACGAAATTTACAATATTTTGTAATTTTTACGCCTTTTAGAGACAACTAAAATGCCAGCCTTATAAGTTGTATAAGACATGAGTATAGAATGAGAAAATAATAGATTATTTATTATTTTGGAAAAACATGCAAAACCCAATCATAAAGTTTGTAATGACTTCTTTATTAGAATAGTACTCACTTACCTTTTAAAATAACATCAATGAATTTTTATTTATTTTTTTTTTTTCAATATTCCACAACAGTTTTATTAAAATCAGAACAACTATTTTCAAGTTTCCTCTTTCACACTAAACTACAAACTATCACAACTATAAATAAAATTGCAATAAGTTCTTTATAATCCCTTTCAAAATTGGTTCCCTGATTAAAAACATAACTTTGTACTGAAGTATTTTCTGCTGGCGTTGATTTGCCCTCGAATTCATAGTAGGCACGAAAACCACTGCGATCAAAACGATCATTCGAATGGAAAGATACACGAAAGAAGCGATCATCTGAACGTATTTCGAATTTATCACGTTTGCCACAATATTTCGGGAACTTGCGATCGGTACTAAGGAAATTGGAGAATTCCACATAATCACTGGCGGTGAGATATTCACAACTGCTTTTAAATGAAATGAGAGATTGAAAATTAATTAAACTTGAATATATGTTTTTTATTATGAAACAAACCTTCCGACGCCCTCCACATCAAAGTAGCTGAAACGAATTATTACTTTTTCATCCAATTCACCATGAAAGAAATAATCGCAGTTGATATTTTTCGGATAGAGTCCTGGAAAATTTGGCGATGTAAAGTAGCCCATTTTCTTGTCCGTGCTGTTGTATGCAAAACTGCAGTTATTTCCCAATTGAATGCCCGTAGAGATGCCGTAATCTAAAAATAGAAATAAAAACATAAAAAATTATATTCCAATTAATTTTATTTTTACGGGCAGGGCAGCTTACTTGTCAGGAATGTATATTCCGCCTTAAATCCATAATATCCAATTTTCGTTTGACCACTGGGATATCTTCCAATAAATTGTAATGTTAATTTTGGTCCCGTTGACATAATATGTTTGGGTAGAAACGCACCACAATACCAATCCATAACTTCATATTTCCCCTTCACCTGCGTCAACAACTGCAGCGAATCATTTGGTTTACAATCCGTTGAGTTTTTATCCGTGGGTATATTAAAGTCCAAAAACTTAATTTGTACCCGTTCATTTGGATTGCTGGCATAAAATTCATAAATACATTCGATACGTCCTGTATTTATTAAGGATGCCGATGACACCATATTCAGGTTTGTCAAACGTGAGGCCGAGAACAAATGATTTGTGTCGAATGTACCGGATTTGTTGTAGCGCGATTCGAAGATCTCCCGAAAGTTTCCTGAAAGGAAAATTTAAAAGGTAGTTAGTTCGAATCAGGATAGAACTAAGAAGATATATTAAGAATGTCAAGTCATGCAATCATGTGTTTTCTGTTCTTTTTTTTTCAAAATTATTCATTTGACAACATCTCATTGTCAAAATATATATTTATAAATACATTGTATACACAGAAAGAGATTGGAATCTATTTTTTATTCAAAGAAATTTGACAGGGTGAATTACAAAAAATTCAGATATTGATAGAATTTTTTTAATGAATTTACCTTCTTAATTTTACCATGGATACCACTATTTCACAGACAAACCTTCATGATTATGAGGCTAATATTTTCGTTTCTGTTTTCGAATGTATTTTTCCCATGGTAAAATAATACAGGTATATGCGTTAACGCTTAGGAACATTGATATGTCAACAATTTTTAATTGTTTTTTCAAATATAAGTAGATTTTCATATATTTTTTCTTATACGACGTCATTCGGAGGTTATTATAATACGCGTTTCAACAATTTTTGCAAATTAAAATAATTTTTCCTTCAACAAGCGCTTGCTTGATGTGATCGACCATCGGCTATTATGCGGAGAGCGACCATCGGCTGTTATGGCGGCCCACACCCTCACCATGACCGGCGTTTGAGTTCTGGTGGCCAACCGAAGAAGCACATTTTAAGCTGACCTCTTTGGTAAGTAAACACCATCATTTTGTTTGTATACAAACTGCCGGACAACGAATGTTTTCTCATCGGAGAAAAACAACATTTCACCAAGCCATGCAACTCTTTTGCTCTTTTGAGTCTATTTTCTTTCCGTTGCGGTGTAAGTTTTTGCACTTCTTGGAATTTCCATGGCTTTTTCCCGAGCTCATTTTTTAATATTTGCCGAATGGAATATTGCGATATGTTCAGCTCACGAACAATTTTTGGGCATTGCGACGCGGGTTTCAATCAAGTCGCTTCTTTACTTTTCGAACCATTTCTGCTGATATTGCTGTTTTCTTCCGTCCACTTCCTTGACGTCGGGCTACGCTACCAGTATCACGGTAACGAGCGATGGTACGAGACACAAAAGATTTATTCACATTTAAATGCAGGAGTGCTCTAACGATAGCCACTTGTCAAATATAAAGAAATCACACTATCACGTTTGAATTCCATCACGAATAACTTTTTTTCTGGAAAATTCTCACCAAAATGCTTTTGTACGCTTGTAAACAATATAATGAGCTGTCACTGGAATAATTTTAACAGCTGTCGGACGAGTGGCTTAGAAATGACAACAGTCTGAATTTGGTTGCAGTTTTTTCATCTCACCCTGTATGCATTGACACTTGTTAACATTGATATGTCAACATTTTTTAAAAGTTTCTTTAAATATAAGAAGATTTTCATATGTTTTTTATACGACTTCAAACGGAGGTTATTATACTATGTGTTTTTCAACAATTTTTATAAATTTGAATAATTTTTCATTCAAAATTGTCTATTCCAAAATTAGTTCGCCAGTTCATGCTGCCAGCAGCTGTGTCTATGCGTCTTCCTGTGTTCTTCTACCATGATTAGTATCAATCAATTTCAATTCAATTTCAATCAGCAATATGGCAACATCTGATAGTAAAAAGTCATCTGTTTTTTTCAACTGAAATTGATCTCTATAACCCTTACAATGTCTTTGACGATTTTCAACTCCCTTTACCTCCCACCTGTCATTCTTATTGTTTTGATTTGCGTGAATAGTCTTGTGAAATGTTTATATTTAAAAAAAAAATAAATTATTGTTAATATTTTTGTGTGTGATTATTAGTTTTTATGTTGGAATTTTTAAACAAGTCTAGTCTAGTGATTATTTTTAATTGTCAATCATTTTACACCGGCTGTCGAAGAATGTATCGCGTTGAGGATAATCGTTTGTTTACATTTTCCCGCATCTGTGATGAAATTGCCGAGGAGCGAAGTTATTTGAATAAGGCTCAAATTTTGGAGAAATTCTTTAAGAAGGGATGCAATAACAAGGAGTTTAAAGGAGATCTACTGCTATGGGTTCGCATGCTAATACCTTCCGATTCACAGCGTGTCTATAATTTGCAAAATAAACAAATGCTGAAGCTCTTTTCGAGGCTATTCAATACGGATACACGGGAAATGCAGTTGGATTTGGAGCAGGGTAATCTTATCCCTATGAATTTGAATAACATGTGTATTTTATTGTTTTCCAACATTTTAGAGGGTGACGTATCTGAAACGCTGAGGAAATTCTTTGAAAACTCCAATAAATTGAAACCGCAAAAGGATAGTTCTTTATATCTGCAAGATGTTGAAGAATTCCTGGTAAAACTGGAGCAACGTTCGAAAGAGGATGAACAAACGGTGCTACTCAAGGAGCTATGCAAACAGGCAACGTCTCAGGATTTGAAAACTGTATGGAATTGTAATATTTTATGCATATCATATACATATATTAAATTTTATTCTTCTCATTTCAGATTATTCGTATAATAAAACAAGATTTACGTATGAATGCAAAGGCTAGTCATGTCCTGGCGGCTTTTGGCCCCATGGCATATTCATCATATCAAGCAACAAGAGATCTAGCAGCGGTGGTCAAACAATTTGCCTTTAATAAAAAACAGAACAACAATATTTTAACTGCTGCAGCAGCACCCAAAGCAAAGAAAGTTTGTTAAATTGAAATTATCTTCTGACAGAATCGAAAAGTAATGTTTCATATGTTTTCAGGGTAAGGCATCGGCAGTTTCGGTACAAGTTATGACACCCATATCCCCTATGTTGGCCAATGCCTGCAATTCTGTGGAAGAGGCATTTCGAAAGAGCCCATCGGGTCTTTTTAGTGAAATAAAATACGATGGCGAACGGGTGCAAATACATAAACAAGGAAATGAATTTAAGTGAGTTTAATATTCAATTCATTGGATAGATGTGTGTTGTAATATGTCTATATACTTTCTTTTCACAGATTCTTTAGTCGTAACCTAAAGCCAGTTATGGAACACAAGGTTAAGAGGTTTAAAGAAATGATACCAAAGGTATGTCAGAAAATGGAGTGCTTAATTTGGAGTGCTCTAAAAATAGTATCCCTTGCCTCCTTTCGAGACGAGCGTAATGATCTAAAATTTGCGAATAAGTAAAGCCAGAAACCCACTCTTGTGTAATAGAGTTTCTTTGGCTTGGCCGTTTCACTGCAAACTTCAGATCATTTAGCTCCTTTCAGAGAAGAAATGAGGTCATGAATATTTATTCTTTGACTTAACAAGTCAAAATATTTCTTTAATTCTTAGGCCTTCCCTGGTGCCGGTGATATGATCTTGGATTCAGAAATTATATTGGTTGACACCATAACAGGAGAATTACTGCCGTTTGGTTCATTAGGTGCTCATAAAAAGAAAGAATATCAACACGCTGAAGTTTGCCTATTTGTATTCGATTGTTTACTTTTCAAAGGAGAAGATCTTACCACTACGTAAGTGTTGACAAATGAACTTGAAAGCTTTAAAATGACATTGTTACGTTTGATGGTTGTGGGATCATCATATACAGGGTGAGATAAAAAAACTGCAACAAAGTAAAACGCCATGATTTTTACATTTTTTTAAATTTTATTGAATGAAAGCAAAAAATGTCGGAAATAGCATCAAATTTTAGAATAAGTTTAGATTTGTTGAAATTGGTCGCCTTTGGAATGAATTATGGCCTTCAAACCGCCAAAGAAAACGTCACAGGCTGCCCGAATATTGCTTTGCGGTATTTTGGTCCATTCCCGCCGAAGCGCTTGCTTGAGGTGATCGAATCTTTGGTATTTTTTAATGCCAACCTTGCTTTCCAAAATACTCCAGACCCAATAGTCCAACGAATTGGTATCCAGAGATTTTGGTGGCCACTGTGCGCTGGAAATGAAGGGAGGAACCTCATTTTGTAACCATTCTTGGGTGGCGCGTGTTGAGTGCGATGGTGGTGAGTGCTTTTGGAATGTCCCGAGTCTGCGGCGAGTGCTCTAACGATAGCCATTTGTGGTTTTCAATTAAATATAAAGAAATCACACTATCACGCTTGAATTCCATCACGAATAACTTTTTTTCTGGAAAATTCTCTCCAAAATGCTTTTATAGGCGTCTAAACAATATAATGAGCTGTCACTGGAATAATTATAACAGCTGTCGGAGGAGTGGCTTAGAAATGACAGCAGTCTGAAGTTGGTTACGGTTTTTTCATCTCACCCTGTAGACTAATAGACTTGTGATATACAAGACTTCAACTCAGTCTCCGTCTCACAAAGTCTCACGTATATTTGCTACATAAATTTTTAAAACCATATGTTTAATATTTTCCTTTTGTTCGTTTTCTCTTCACAGCCCCCTCCGACAGCGGAGAAAAATCCTTGAAGATAATATAACACCAATCAAAAGCTATGTACAACTTTCCGAATCACATTTCCTCAAGACAAAAACCGAACTCTCCCTTATGACTGCCAAAGTGCTGAGGGCCCACTTAGAAGGAGTGGTGTTAAAAGATCCCTCCGGAATATATCAACCTGGTAAAAGAGGTTGGCTGAAGGTGAAAAAAGATTATCTCTTTGGTGGACGGATGGCCGATACAGCAGATTTGGTGGTGCTGGGAGCATCATATGGTTCCGGCAAACAAGGGGGTGTTTTGAGTATTTTCCTAATGGGTTGTTACGATGAACGGGATCATCTGTGGAAGACGGTTACAAAAGTGCACACTGGGCTGGATGATCAGACACGTTTGGAAATGCATGATCATCTTATGAAGTTGATGGAACGGTCTGATGCCAAACATTTGCCCACATGGTTTTTGTGTAATAAGCCCCTGGTTCCTGATTTCATTGCCAAAGATCCCAAACTAATGCCGGTTTGGGAAATTACCGGCGCCGAATATACCAAATCTGGGGAACATACTGCCTCAGGAATATCCATTAGATTTCCACGTATTACACGTCTAAGAAGCGATAAGACGGCCAAGGAGGCCAATAATTTGGAACACTTGGAGAATATGTATGAGGCTTCTAAGAATAACGTCAATGTTGATTTGTTAATTAAGGGATGTGATGATGAGCCGGAGGATAAAGTGAAAATCAATAGTAAAATCAATTTGGAAGGTTGTATAACAACACCAAAAAGGGAAATTAAAAAGGAGCCTCTAGATGAAAGCCCACAAAGCAGCAGCAGCAAAAAGAAACTAACAACACCCTCCTCAACTAGCAATAAGAAGCGGAAATCAACAGAACCCCCCGAAGAAGAACTCTTTGTGGAAAATAAAAAAGTTAAAATTGAAAAAGATATAAAAGAAAATAAAAAAGTAAAAGATGAAAGAGATACGAAGCGAGATAGCAAAACCAGCGTCAAAAAGCAATTGACCCTTGATTTTGTAATTAAAAAGGAAATCAAAAGTGAAACGACGGATGAGAAGCCCTCCACATCAGCAGCAGCAGCAAACAGCTTAAAAAGGGAAATAAAACAGGAACCCGATGAATATTCTGGCACATCATCGAAAAATGTACGGCAAATGGATGTCGAGCCAAGTGTTACAAAGAAAAGTAGACTATTTAAAAATATTACAGTTTATTTTAATGATGTTAGTGATGTTAATAATTTAAAATGCCTCTTGGAAGCCAATGGTGGTAGTGTTACCACAAATAAAAAATTAGCCAATTTGGTATTGCATGAAACGTGTAAAGCGAATATTACCCCCTCCAACTGTAGGTCGCAATATCGTTTATCGTGTCACCATTTAAGTAAACAATGGCTCCTAGATTGCCTTAAAGAAAATACATTATTGAATTATGGTTTATATGCAGTTGTTTATACGTCGAAAAAATAATAAAGATAAAAGGCATGCCTATTAGTTGTTGTTGTTTATTGTTGTATTTCACTGGATTTCATCATGGCCATTGCCGCTCTTTGTGTATGGAGGTGTGTGTATTTCGTTCATAGATAAGACCACACTTGATTTGTGTCAATTTCTGCAAATCGATCATTAATGTGGGAATACAAAATGGATGTGATAACAGCTTGATTGATCAATGCAACTCTTTTCGATTCTTACTGTTTTGATATGAGTAATGTGTTGAGAATTGAAATTGGTAAAGCTAATATTACTATTAATTAATTTAATATTAATATTAAAAATAAATAAATAGAGGGGAAAAGTTCACCCCTCTTCTATATTTTTGGACATTTTCGGATTAGGATTCCTTGTAATTCGTCCATTTTAAGTTCCTAGTGGCTTTGGAAATATTACAGTCAACAATATGAGGATTATTTTCGTCACATATTATAACACTCAGGTGAGTCGAGTTATGATTATTCCAACTGTTGACCCTTTATGGGGGAGGTTCCGAAGCAGTTGGCCAATATTATCCAATTTGTATCCGACCTAAGACTTATAAAAATATTACAAGGTGCCAGATTTGGACTATATCGACTACTTCTATACTTTATATGAGATATGTGACCAGATTTAGTCGACTAAAGTATTCCATTTTCATGCTCCATTTAATACAGATAAAAATATTGATATTTGAAAAATTTGAAGGAAATCGAACATTTATATCCAATTTTATGCGAAATCATAAATTTCCATAAATTACATGTCCATATCAGGTTTCTGGTTGAGAGACATATACTTAGATATAGCAAGTTGTAAAAAGTCACTGATTATTTTCGCAAGTTATGATAGATAAAAGTATTCAAAGTTGCGACCCTTTGTGGGTGAGGTACCAGAAGGGGTTCGCAGATATATAGCATCGTCACAATAGATCTTGTGTTAGCAAAAATGTTTTGTATGTGTGAAATATAAAGAAAACCTGATGCTTATTTAAAATTTTGACTCTTTTGTGGGGGAGGTACCAGAGGGAATGGTCCGATCTCCACCGTCTTTATAACAGATCGTATGTTGATAGAAATATTCAGATGCGCCAAATGGAATCGGATGTTAATTTTCCGTTTTATGAGCTTCATAAATATTCACAATTTTGATCTTTTGTGGGGGAGTTGCTGTGCAGCACATTATTTTCCTTGAAAATTTTGACATTTTGTGGGAGAGGTATCAGAAGGAATGGACAGATATTGTCCATCTACGAACTTGATCTAAGTTTCATAATAATATTATGATTTACCAAGTTTGGACTAAATCGGATACTTTCTTCGAGAGTTATCCTGCGCACCAGCCGGGCAGAGAGACAGACATACGGCCGGACCGACATCGCTAGATTGACTCCAAATTTCTTGAAACGGATTTGGTCCAAAGCGACCTGGGGTCTAAGACCGTTATTTCGATGAGACAAGTTTTGGCCGTATCAAATTATATATACCCTCTCTAGCCATATGAAAAAAACAAATAAAAAAGCTGCTAAGTTTGGCCGCTTCGAACTTCTATTAGATTCCACAATTTTGAAGAAGCTTGAAAATTTTCAAAAAAAAAAAAAATAATAAATAAATAATAATAATAAATCATCAAAATACCGAATATCGGGAAGTACCGATATATGGGGGGTATAAGAAGACCTGGACCTGCAAAGGCAATTTTCAGTCGTAGGCTGTTGTACCCATAACGAACTACAAATACGAAATGTGAAACCTGCATAGGCAAATTTCTGTCACAGATTGTACTACTCGTTACTACTCGTTAGGGGTGGGGGCCATACCCGAACGTGGACCTATATAGCACACTTTAAATACCAAAGGTTCTGCAGATCAAACACACATTTGAGTAAAATTTAACTAACCTACTTCAATTTGTTCGGAAACTATAAACTATATAACTGCGATATGATACGATTACACCTTAATTGAGTTTTTGAATATTTTTGAAGAAAATAACCTAAAAGACCCCTTTAATGACTCGACTGAGGGTTAAATGGTTTTACAGAAATATACCCCAGAGGTTCATCAATAATATTGCCAATGACAGTATATACCTAAAATGCATGAATTCCAAAGATTCTTAACTCGAATATTTTCAAAAATGAAGATATGGGCGGAACTTTCCACCACCGAAGCTAGAACTCATTATGACCAATAAATACCAGTTTTCAGACAAATCCGTGAAAAAATGTGACAAAAATCATCAAAACATCGAATATCGGGAGGTGCCGTTATATGGGAGCTATACAAAAACGTGGACCTATAAATACAATGTTACCCCACACGAGGTAGGACCCATTATGATTTACAAATACCAATTTTTAGACAAATCCGTGAAAAAATGTGACGAAAACCATCAAAATAGCGAACATCGGGAGGTACCGCTATATGGTGGTTATACCAAAACGTAGACCGATATATCTCATTTTCAATACCACCAATCCTAGACACAATATAAATTGTGCTAATTTTTGACGCTCTACGTCATATAATGTGAGCTGTATCGTGGTTTCAACAGACAGACAGACGGACATCGTTAAATCGACTTAGAATTTTATGCTGATTATGAATATATATACTCTATGGGGTCTACGATGAATATTTAGGAATGTTACAAACGGAATGACAAAGTTAATTTACCCTCCTTCCAAGGTGGAGGGTATAAAAATGAGCAGAAATTTCCCGCCTTGTTTTACATAACTCCCGATGTAACGTGTCTCATATTTTTATACCCTCCACCATAGTATGGAGGGTATACTAAGTTTGTCATTCCGTTTGTAACACCTCAAAATATACATTTTAGACCCCACAAAGTATATATATTCTTGATCAGCATAATTTTACTAAAATGTATTTTATGTCTGCAGGACTTATGGTATCGTGGATCATGTAGATCCACGTTTTTAGTATAGCCCCCATATTAAGGTACCTCCGATATTGGGTATTTTGATGAGTTTAGCGACCTTTTTTTTTACCAGAATTATTTCAAATTTTGTATTTGAATTTCATAATGGATACTACAGCCCATGGTGCAATGAAGAGAAGGTAGGTCAACTTTGAAAAAATAGCAAGTATAGAGGTCTTCCTGTTTGGCTTGTAATGTCAGAATTAGTATCAAAACAATAAAAAAGTTATTGAAAGGAAAACACATACATAAACAAATAAAGATGACATATTAAGCCAAGAAAATAAAAAAATGGAAATCATATGGTATCATAGCCTTACCTTGATATCATTGTACCATGCTACAGCCTATGCCAGAAAATTGTCTGTGCAGGTCCACGTCTTCGTATAGACCCTAATATACGGCTACATTCGGTATTTTTAAGATTTTAACAGAATTTTTAATGGATTTTATTTTTTTGAAAATTGCCAAATTTGTACCAAATGGTGGAGGGTATTCAAAGTTCGGACCGGCCGAACTTAAAGCTTTTTTACTTGTTAACTCTAATTTCATAATCCTATCCATTTTCCTATAATAAAAAAAATAAAATAATAATTTGATGGCTCAATGTTATTTAGTACTGGAAGTTGTTTTTGGGTTAATCACCCTCAAAATGGTCCATACCTCAGCAATTCATTTCTTATATGGGAACTAACTTAACCTCTGATTCAATATTGTGAAATTGAAAATCAAAACAAACATCTATCTTAGCTAAGAATTTATTGAAGAGATATTGCTGATAAAAAATTATAATCGCTCGAGTATACGAGATATCGAACCAATCGGGTTAGAGATACGAAATATACATATGTATGTATGTCAATATATATATGAGTGTATTGTGTATCGATAAACAAAGCAACAAAATTATCTTGCCCACAAATGGAAATCAACAAGCCGTCGCATAATTATTAAATTTATTTACAAACGAGAGCTCGAGTGGAACATTGCCAAATTATTTCTCGGTGGAGAATAACAACTCGATAATTTTTGACAAAAAAAGAAGATAAAACAAAAAATGTTGCTGGAACTACTGGCGTTTGTTGTAATTGGTGGTGTCGCCTTTTACTATTGGGCCACCAAAAATTCCGATTTCTTCAAGAACCGTAACATTGAATATGAGAAACCAATGATATTATTCGGCAATAGCTGGGAGATTTTGATGAAACGTAAGACGGGCTTCCAGGTGCTCTGTGAAATGCATGAAAGGCACAAGGGCATGTAAGTATTGGCTTTAGGGAATATACAAATCGTAAAGGAATATTAATATTTATCCAATTTTAGAGTCTATGGAGCCTTTGATATGCGCGAGCCCGTGTTGATGATACGCGATCCGGAACTGGTGAAACAAGTGACAACCAAAGATTTCGATCATTTTGTAAATCGTCAGATTTTGACTTCGACTACAAGTGAGAATCTATTCGCCCACTCGTTGTTTATGTTGGAAAACGATAAATGGCGTGACATGCGGAGTACGTTGAGTCCAGCTTTTACGGGTAGTAAAATGCGTCAAATGTTTCAGTTGATGGTGCAAACGGTCGATGAGGCCATGTCGTATTTGAAAACCCAACAAACATCTGTGGATGGCATCGATGTGGATGTAAAAGATCTGACAACCCGATTAACCAACGATATTATTGCTTCGACGGCATTTGGTCTGCAAGTGAACTCATTCCGTGATAAGGAGAATGAATTTTATATCAAGGCGAAGAGGGCTATCAGTTTTACGGGGCTGCAACAGTTGAAAATGCTGTTCATTGTTATTTTCCCCAAGGTGGCTGAGGTGAGTGGCACAAAAATGGGTTGAACTTTTTCTTAATGAAAAACAAGTAAAAAATATGTATTTTCGGCCGGACCGAACTTTGAATACCCTCCACCACTTGGAACGAATTTGGCAATTATCAAAAAATAAAATCCGTTAAAAATTCTGTTAAAATCTGAAAAACACCGAATGTAGCCGTTATATTAGGGTCTATGGACCTGCAGAGGCAACATTTATCATAAGCCATTACAATATTCAAATGAGAAACTTGAAAAAATTCGGTGAATAATGTAGCTAAAATAATGGATATACCGAATATGGGGAGGAACCGTTATGTGGGGGCGTAGTCTTCGTCTTCGTAGACCTGCAAAGACAATTTTTTGTACCAAATTTGAAACGATTCCGGTGAATAATGTCGCTAAAATCATCAAAATACCGAATATCGAGAGGTACCGTTATATGGGGGCTATACAAAGACGTGGACCTACATAGACAATTTTTTGTCATAGGTAGTATCGATGACGAACTTCAAATACCAAATTTGAAACAATTCCGGTAAATAATGTCGCCAAAACCATGGGGCCTATACGAAGACGTGAAATACCGAATATCGGAAGGCGCCGTTATATGGGGGCTATACGAAGACGTAGACCTGCACAGAGAATTTTTTGTCATAGACTGTAGTATCGATGACGAACTTCAAATACCAAATTTGTAACAATTCCGGTAAATAATGTCACCAAAATCATCAAAATACCGAATATCGGGAGGTACGGTTACATGGAGGCTATACGAAGACGTTGACCTGCACAGACAATTTTCTGTCTAAAGCTGTAGTATCCATTACCAACCTCAGATTCCAAATTTGAAGCGATTCCGGTAAATAATGTCACCAAAATCATCAAAATACCGAATATCGGGAGGCGCCGCTATATGGGGCCTATACGAAGACGTGAACCTGCACAGACAATTTTCTGTCATAGGCTGTAGTATCCATTACCAACTTCAAATTCCAAATTTGAAACAATTCCGGTGAATAATGTCGTTAAAATCATCAAAATACCGAAGGTACCGTTATATTAGGGCTATACAAAGACGTGGACCTGCACAGACAATTTTCTGTCTTAGGCTGTAGTATCCACTACGAACTTCAAATTCCAAATTTGAAACATTTCCGGTGAAAAGTGTTGCTTAAATCAACAAAAAACCGAGAATAGGGAGGTACCATTATATGGGGACTATACCAAAAGTCCTGCAGACACAATGTACATTTGAGTGATTTCCACAGACGGACAGACGGTCGGACATAGCTAAAACATCATAGAATTGGATGCTGATCAAGAATATATATACTTTGTGGGGTCAAAAATGTATATTTCGAGGTGTTACTAACGATATGACAAACCTCATATACCCTCCATACTATGGTGGGGGGGTATAAAAATAAATTGATTTTTTTTTTTTTTTTTCAGAAAAATATTTTTTATATTCCAAATCTTTTTTTCCAGAAACTGAAAATGGATATATTTGAGAAATCCTTTACCGACTACTTTATGAATCTCGTCTTGGGCACAATGAAATATCGCCAAGAACACAATATACATCGTCCGGACATGATAAATTTGCTTATGGAAGCCCGTGGCATGATACCCACGGAGGTGCAGAAAACCTATTTCCGTCAATGGACCGATCTAGAGCTTGTGGCACAATGCTTGCTCTTCCTATTTGCTGGATTCGAACCATCATCGGGGGTAATGAGTTTTGCCGCCCATGAGCTAATGGAAAATCCGGAAGTTCAACAAAAACTTTATGAAGAAATCGCTGAAATCGACAAAGATTTACAGGGTACACCGGTGTCATATGAAATGTTACAGAAAATGTCCTATATGGATATGGTGGTATCGGAGGTTCTGCGCAAATGGCCAGTGGCGGGGGTGACAGATCGTATATGTAATAAAGAGTTTGAATATGAATCGAAGGAGACGGGTGAAAGGGTTGTGGTCAAGAAGGGTGAGAAGGTACGAATCTCCATGTGTGGCATGCAACGAGATCCGAGGTATTACGAAAATCCAAATGTTTTTGATCCCGAGCGTTTTAGTGCGGAGAATAAGGGGAAAATTGAGAATGGTACATATATGCCATTTGGTTTGGGTCCACGTAATTGTATTGGTAAGATTCTCAAATTATGGCTATTGAAAAATAATAAATCAATAAATTTTGGTTATTGTTTTAGGAAACCGTTTCGCCATTTTGGAGGTGAAAACTTTTCTCTATTATCTATTGCGTGATTACAGTTTGGAACCCTGCGCCAAGTCCTGTGTACCTCTGGTCTTGGATCCCACCAGTATACAGCTGCTACCCAAGGGCGGTTTTTGGTTGAAATTGAAACCAAGAAAAGCTTAACCTCTTATGTTGGGTGTTAGATCGATAAGCAACTTGAAAAAATGTTGAGAACTTATATAGTATTATAAGCTTCTGTCCTAATTTATATATATATATATATATATATATATATATATATATATATATATATATATATATATATATATATATATATATATATATATATATATATATATATATATATATATATATATATATATATATATATATATATATATATTAGATACAGGTCGGAACTTAATGACAATTGATTTGTTTGATAACACTGTGCAACAAAGGTCAGAGAAAAATTTGCAGGAAGACCGAAAAAGATTATGAAAGTAGAGCTGATAAGTAAAAAAGCTGTAAGTTCGGCCGGGCGGAAGTTTGAATACCCCCACCATTTGGAACGAATTTTTCAATTTTCAAAAAAAAAACCGTTAAAAATTCTGTTAAAATCTTAAAAATAGCGAATATAGCCGTTATTTTGGGGTCTATACGACGTGGACCTACATAGACATTTTTTGTCATAAACCATTACCATATTCAAATTCGAAACTTGAAATAAACGGTGAATAATGTAGCTAAACTAATCAAAATATGGTATATAGGGAGGTACCGTTATATCGGAGCTATGCGAAGACCTGGAACCAGTATAGACAATTTTCTGTCACAGGCTGCAGCATCCATTACGACTTCAAATACCACATCTCAAATAATTTCTGTGGGTATTGTACCTAAAATCTTCAAAATACCGAATATAGGGAGGTATTGATATATACGAAGACCTGGACCTGCATAGACAATTTTCTGTCACAGACTGTAATTCCCATTATGAACTCTAAATACGTAATTTGAAACTACACTGGTGAATAATGACTCTAAGATCATCAAAATACCGAATATTTGGAGGTACCGTTATATGGGGGATATACGAAGACGTGGACCTGCACAGACAATTTTCTGTATCTAGTATCCATTACGAACTTCAAATACCAAATTTGATACAATTCCGGTTAATAATGTCGCTAAAATTATCAAGATATCGAATATCGGGAGGTACCGTTATATGGGGGCTATACGAAGACGTGGACATGCACTGACAATTTTCTGGCATGGGATGAAGAATCCATTACGAACTTCACATGCGAAATTTGAAACAATTCCGGTAAATAATGTCGCTAAAATCATCAAAATACCGAATATAGGGAGGTACCGTTATATGGGGGCTATATGAAAACGTGGACCTACATGGCCCATTTACGAACTTAACCTGCCTACTGGAAAAATAAACATGTGTGCAAAATTTTAGCCATCTATCTCAATTTATTCGAAAGATAGCGTGATTACAACAGACAGACAGGCGGACAGACGGACAGACAGACGGACATCGCTAAATCGACTTAGAATTTTAGGCTGATCAAGAATATATATATACTTTGTTGGGTCTGACATGAGTATTTCGAGGAGTTACAAACGGAATGACAAAGTTAATATACCCTCCATAGTATGGTGGAGGGTATAAAAAGTAGAGCTAAAAATATGAGACACGTCTATCGGCATTTAGAAAGTATATATAGGCAAATACACAAAACAGGCCAAGGAAGTTCCGACCATTTTTAAATAAAAACAATTAAAAACAAGTAAGCAAAGGCCACAGTCGAGCGGGGCCGACCGTTGAATACCCTACAACACTATAATAAACGATACAGTTTATATAGGCGAGATACTCGAAAGAATTCCACAAGATATTGTGACAAATAATAAAAGAAAACCATCAGGTTTCGTTCTCTAATTTTCGAATTATAGCAACTTTAACTAATTTGCTCATTTCCAATTTATTGGAAGATGTTGCGCGTAAATGGTCTTCCTAGATCTGGAACCAATATTTCCCAAAGACCTATAATCTCTCAGAAGTGGCAAAAGATTAACATTTATTATTGGTTTTTGACTGAAACGCATCTATATGAGATACAGACATTTGACTATATTCTTCAACGAAATCAGCGTTAACGAAATAGTCAGAAGTGCGTCTTTCCTGTATTTGTGAATTCTCCAAAAAGTCTCTAGAATAGACATTTCCGTATTTTGTCTACAAAAGTTGGCAAACTATTTCACACATTGAATATTTTTGGATGGCCATCCAAAACTGCTTGGCTTTTGCAATGTCCGGTAACCCCCATTCAAATGAGCGTGAGGATCGGGCGATAATTACGACCTGCTGACAATTTTGCAGTTTTTTGGTCCATTTCAACCCCTAAATATATGGCGATCATCTCCAAAAAGAGTAGGCTTCAATTCTGACCCTCATCTTATCCCCATGCAAAATTTCGTAAGGATCGGGCCATAAATGCGATCTGTATATGATATCCTGATATCCTAACTACTTAGTTTTGCTAGCTGTAGAAATATAACCAAATGTTTAATTCAAAATGAAAATATGCCAAAAATATGACAAATTTAAAAAAATATGAGAAAATATTACAAAATCAATATTTTCATCTTTAGAGAGATATTTTTATGCGATTTTTTAGACGTTTTTTCTTTCCTGCCAAGAGACCATTCTGAATTAATGAGAACTGTCGAAATCTGTTCAGCCGTTCTCGACATATATGAGATCTTTCAAGCATATCTTCTTTGATAGGCATATATATCGCACATATTTTGCTATATATCCAATTTGTTGGATCTTAACATCAATGTAAAGATCAGAAATAACCTTGTCATGGCTTTGTGATTTCGCCGCGATTTAAAATATTCGCGGTTTAATGAAAAATTTGGAATTTATTCAACAAAAAAATATGGTCTATTTTACCCGCTAAATATTATCCGATGATCACCCAAATTGGTAGGCTTCTTCCCCGCCCTAAACTCTAGCCCCATGCTAACTTCCGCTTTGATTGGTCTATAATTGCGACCTGTAGAGCAACTGCAAAATCAGGATTTTTTTTCAGTTTTTGGTCCATTTCAACCCCTAAATATTATGCGATCATCTCCAAAAGAAATAGGGTTCTATTCTGACCCTAGCCCCACCTCCATTCTAAATTTCGTGAAGATCTGACCATAATTGCGACCTGTAGAGTGATTACAAATTAACATGGACAGACGGACAGACGGACGGACGGACATACATAGCTAGATCGACTCAGCTCGGCGAGATAGGAAGATCCATATATACTTTCCTATGTGGGAAACCAATATTTCGTGGTGTTACATAATTTTTAGCCCAATCAAACTTATAATACCCCCAACACATAGTGTTGTAGGGTATAAAAAAACAATATGTTGGGCCGGGCCGAATTTTGAATACCCTCCACTATTTGGAACGAATTTGGAAATTTTCAAAAAAAAAAAAAAAAAAAATCCATAAAAAATTCTGTTAAAATCTTAAAAATACCGAATATGGACGTTATATTAGGGTCATAAGCCGTTACCATATTTAAATTCGAAACTTGAAATACACGGTGAATAATGACGCTAAAATCATCAAAATACCGAATATCGGGAGGTACCGTTATGTGGTGGCTATATGAAAACGTGGACCTACATGGCCCATTTACAAACTTAAGCAACATTCGGGCAGCGTGTGATGGTTTCATTGGCCGTTTGTAGGTCATAATTCGTGCCAAAGGTGACCAATTCAAATCTAAGTTTATTCTAAAATTTGATGCTATTTTTTCATTCAATAAAATTAAAAAAAAAATGTAAAAATTATGGCGTTTGACTTTGTTGCAGTTTTTTTTATCTCACCCTGTATACCTAGGATGCATGGATTCCATGGAATATTTCAAATATTTCCAAAAATTTTAAAATTGTTAAAATTTCAAGGTAAATTTTTAAAACGCCAATACACCTGTCACTTATTTTTGGCTCTATTTTCAAAATCTTTTCGGTATTTCCTGCAATTTTAGAAAAATTAAGGTTTGTAGCACAGTGTTATTATTTGGCCGATTTTATTCCACAACGGGGAAGGGCACATTAGAGACAGGTCCGATTTTTCATGCCAGTGAATTTTTGTTTAATAATTGAATGTGTTGTTTTTGTTTGTAAGTTCATTTGCAAAGAATAAATAAACAAACCCAAAGCAAAAACAATTCTAATGGCTCTCCGGGAAGAGACAACCTTATCTTTCTCTCACCAGCGTTTTTTTCATGAGATTCAATTAACCAAAGCAAAAATTCATTTCATTGTCAATTGAACGTTTCGGGAGTACATAGCGTAACGGTCGAACATCATCCGTTCAATTAAATTGTAAAATAAAATGTTTCTAGTATTAGTTTCAATTCTGTTAATTGGTGGCTCATATTTCTACTATTGGGCCACCAAAAATAACAACTATTTCAAGGAACGAAATTTGGACTATGAAAAACCAATATTTCTCTTCGGCAATGGTCTGGAGATATTAATGCGACGTAAAACCGGGTTTCAGGTTCTGTGTGAATTGCATCAGCGGCACAAGGGAATGTAAGTAGAAACTACTTTGAGCACATCCATATCTCAATTATATTATTTATTTTAGGGTCTACGGCGCCTTTGACAATCGCCAGCCATTGTATATGATCCGCGATCCGGACTTGGTAAAACAGGTACTGATCAAAGATTTCGATCACTTCGTCAATCGCCAGTCATTTGCCGCAAATAGTGACAATTTCATTGCAAATTCCCTATTCATGTTGGAGAACGACAAATGGCGCGACATGCGAAGTACCCTGAGTCCAGCTTTTACCGGCAGTAAAATGCGTCAAATGTTGCAGTTGATTTTACAAACCGTCGATGAGGCAATGTCTTATTTGAGGGCACAACAAACGGCCACAGATGGTTTCGATGTCGACATCAAAGATATGACAACACGCCTCACCAATGATATCATTGCCTCGACAGCGTTTGGTCTGCAAGTGAACTCATTTCGTGACAAAGACAATGAATTCTATATTAAGGCCAAAAAAGCCATCAATTTTACGGGGCTACAACAATTCAAAATGATTTTCATGATGGTCTTCCCCAAGTTGGCAGAGGTGAGTTTTGATAAAAAAACAAAGTTTTTATAGACTTCGGATGATCGATTTTTTTCATAAGAGGATCGATTTTTTTCTATAGAAAGAAATGCAGGATTGATTTTCGATTTGATTTGATTTCTAAAAATAGTCCTTTGGGATCGGAGGATCGATTTTTTTTCTCAAAATAGTCCTTTGAGACCAGAAGATCGATTTTTTTTATAGAAAAATTGTCATCTAGGACCAGAGGATCGATTTTTTTCTTTAGAAAAATTGTCCTCTGGGACCAGAGTATCGATTTTTTTTCTTTAGAAAAAAAGTTCTCTGAGTGCAGAGGATTGATTTTTTTTGTAGAAAAAACTTCTCTGAGACCCGGGGATCAATTTATTTCTGTAGAAAAAAAAAAACAGATGATTTCTATAGAAAAAAACTCCTCTGTGAACATAGGATTAATTTTTTACTCCTGTGAACAGAGGATCGTTTTTTTCTTTAGAAAAAAAGGTACTCCTCTGGGACCAGGGGATCGATTTTTGCTATATAAAAAAAGAACTCCTCTGGGACCAGACGATCGACTTTTGTCTATTTAAAAAAGAACTCCTTTGGGACCAGAGGATCGACTTTTTTCTATAGGAAAAAACTTATCTGTGAACCGAGGATTTTTCTTCTATAGAAAAAGAAACTTCCCTTGGAAAATCGAGGCCTCAGTGTGCTCTGAGGCATTTTTTCCGTACAGGAAAAAAATCGAGGCCTCAGAGTGCTCTGAGGCATTTTATTCGTATAGAAAAATCGAGGTCTCAGTGTACTCTGAGGCATTTTTTTCGTATAGAAAAATCGAGGCCTCTGTGTTCTCTGAGGTCTGTCTTTTCGTATAGAAAAAAATCGATGCCTCAGTGTGCTCTGAGGCATTTTTTTCGTATAGGAAATAAATTGAGGCCTCATTGTGTTCTGAGGCATTTTTTTTCTACAAAAAAAATTGAGGCCCTGTCTGTTCTGAGGCATTTTTTCGTATAGGAAAAAAATTGAGGCCTCAGTGTGCTCTGAGGCATTTTTTTTCGAATAGGAAAACAAATTGAGGCCTCAGTGTGCTCTGAGGCATTTTATTCGTATAGGAAAAACTCGAGGCCTCAGTGTGCTCTGAGGCATTTTTTTGCCTAGAAAAAAAAAATAGAGGCCTCAATGTGCTCTGAGGCCTGTTTTTTCGTCTAGGAAAAAATTCGAGGCTCTGAGGCATTTTTTTCGTATAGGAAAAAAATCGAGGCCTCACTGTGCTCTGAGGCATTTTTTTCGTATAGGAAAAAAATCGAGGCCTCAGTGTGTTCTGAGGCATTTTTTTTCGTATAGGAAAAAAATAGAGGCCTCAGTGTGTTCTGAGGCATCTTTTTTTTCAATAAAAAATCGAAACCCCTGTATGTTCTGAGGCATATTTTTCGTATAGAAAAAAATCGAGGCCTTAGTGTGTTCTGATACCTGTTTTTAAGTAGAGAAAAAAATTGAGGCCTCAGGTGCTCTGAGGCATTTTTCTTCGTATAGGGAAAAATCGAGGCCTCAATGTGCTCTAAGGCGTTTTTTTCCTATAGCAAAAAATCGAGGCCTCACTGTGCTCTGAGGCTTTTTTGTTGTATAGAAAAATAATTCGAGGCCTCCCTGTGCTCTGAGACATTTTTTTGTATAGCAAAAAAATCGAGGCCTCAGTTCAGGATGCCTTTTTTGAGGCCATTTATATATTTCTTTAATTTTTTCCAGATTTTATCCATCGACATTTTCGACAAGGAATTTACCAATTATTTTATGCATCTGGTGTTGGATGCCATGAAATATCGCCAGGAACACAACATACATCGTCCGGACATGATCAATTTGCTGATGGAGGCCCGTGGCATGATACCCACCGAGATACAGAAAACCCATTTTCGCCAATGGTCCGATATAGAAGTGGTTTCACAATGTTTGATATTTCTGTTTGCCGGCTTCGAACCATCATCGAGCGTCATGAGTTTTGGTGCCCATGAGTTAATGGAAAATCCGGAGGCCCAAGAGAAGCTCTATAAAGAAATTCTAGAAGTTCATGAGGAGCTGCAAGGTGAACCTGTGACCTATGAGATTCTGCAGAAAATGCCCTACATGGAAATGGTCGTGTCGGAGGTGTTGAGAAAATGGCCGGTGGCCTTGATATCGGATCGTTCATGTACCAAGGATTTTGAATATGAATCCCCTGAGACAGGGGAGCGTATTACCATTAAGAAGGGAGAAAAGTTGCGCATATCCATGTGTGGCATACAACGTGATCCGAAATACTATGAGAATCCTGATGCCTTCGATCCGGAACGTTTTAGTGTTGAGAATAAGGGAAAAATTGAGGTTGGCACATATTTACCCTTTGGCTTGGGTCCACGTAATTGTATTGGTAAGTTTTAAGGAGAGCCTTGATGCGAAGAAGAACATTTTTATTTTTTATTTGTATCCTTTGCTTTCTAGGAAATCGTTTTGCTTTGCTGGAGATTAAGGCTTTCCTTTACTACCTTGTACGTGATTATCGTCTAGAAGTGAGTCCCAAAACGTCTCAACCTTTGACTCTGGATCCAGCCAGCATGCAGTTGTTGCCCAAGGGAGGCTTTTGGCTTAAATGCATACCAAGAAAAAGTTAAATAATTTGTTTTGATTTTTTTGTTGTTATTTTTTGGTTTTTAATAAAATTGCATATCTATAATGGAAACTAATTACACCCTGCACAAAGATACCATACCATATTGGCGTTTTGCTTTGCCAAGCAAAAAAAAAAAAAAAACATGACGCTTGTGTTTATCTGTAGTGATATCTTGCCGAACGAACGACCAACCGAGCGACCCTACACTCTCGTCTATTTCGTGAGCAATGCATTAGTCATCGAACGGCATTAACTCTCCGCGGCATTCCCAGTCAATCGATTTAGTGTTCTTCGAAACGTTGATCTCCGTACGACCGAAGCTTTATCGAGCTCTTCAATTGAAAATGTTACTCGAATTGTTGGCTTTTCTTATTGCCGGCATAGCTTTCTTCTATAATTGGGCCACCAAAAATAATGACTTCTTCGAAAAGCGTAACATACCCTATGCCAAGCCTTCGTTCTTTTTCGGCACGGTTAAAGACATCACTTTGAATAGGAAAAGTCGTTTTGATGCCATGTGTGAATTCTATAATCAACACAGTGGACCGTAAGTAGTTCTATCTGCTAATGTCTGATTTCAAGTGGGCGAACTGATAATGGGTCTGTTCGATAAATCTACACACAGTTATGAAATAAAATTTATAGTTTTAATAAACAACTCCACAGTGACTTAGATATACGAGCTCTACCTAAAACTAATATAGAATTTTATGTTGGTTATGAAAAATGGGTTATCCTCCAGACAAGGAGATTTTTTTAATAACAATTAAAAAATCTGTAAATTCGGCCGGGCCGAAATTTGAATAACTTGGAACGAATTTGTCAATTTTCAAAAAAATAAAATCCCTTAAAAATTCTGTTAAAATTTGGAAAATACCTAATTCGAAACAATTCCGGTGAAAAATGTCGCTAAAATCGTCAAAATACCGAATATCGGGAGTTACCCATATATGGGGGCTATACGAAGACGATGACCTGCACAGACAATTTTCTGTCATAGGCTGTAGTATCCATTACGAACTTTAAATACCAAATTTGAAACATTTCCGGCAAATATTATCGCTTAAATCACCGAAAGACCGAAAATAGGGAGGTACCATTATATGAGGGCTATAAGAAGGCGTGGACCTACATGGCACATATCAAAAGTCTTACAGACATAATATACATTTGAGTAAATTTCATCAACCTTTTTCATTTCCTTCGGAAGCTAGAGTGATTTCCACAGACGGACGGACGTCGCTTATTCAACATAGAATTTTATGCTGATCAAGAATATACAGGGTGAGATAAAAAAACTGCAACGAAGTCACACGCCATAATTTTTACCTTTTTTTTTAATTTTATTGAATGAAAGTAAAAAATGTCGGAAATAGCATCAAATTTTAGAATAAGTTTAGACTTGTTCGAATTGGTCACCTTCGGCACGAATTATGGCCTTCAAACCGCGAATGAATGTTGCTCTGCGGTATTTTGGCCCATTCCCGGTGAAGCGCTTGCTTGAGGTGATCGACACTTTGGTTTTTTTTATGGCCAACCTTGGTTTCCAAAATATTACAGACACAATAGTCCAACGGATTGGTATTCGGAGAGTTTGGTGGCCATTGTGCCATGTATAACGATTCTTGGGTGGCGCGTGCTGAGTGCTATATTGCTGAGTCCTGTTGGAATGTCCAAGGTCTGCGGCCAAATTGTTTGTGTGGTAAAGTCTTTAATACACCTTCCAGAATATTTTCGAAAAAAATATCTGGCTTTTATTCTGATGCTACGGTCGATTAAAACTATACGTTATGGCGGCCCACACCATCACCATGGCCGGCGCTTGAGTTCCGGTGGCCAACCGAAGGTGCACATTTTCAGCTGACCCCTTTGGCAAGTAAACCCGATCACCACTTTCTGCCAAGCGAAGCAACTCTTTAGCTCTTTTAAGTCTATTTTCTTTCTGTTGCGGTGCAAGTTCTTGTACTTTTTTGAATTTAAATGACTTTACCCCGAACTCATTTTTCAATATTTGCCGAATGAAATATTGCGATATGTTCAGCCAGTTTTCGGCCACTGTCGCTTCTATACTTTTCAAACCAGAATAAATGCCGAATATTATAGAGAAAATATTCTGGAGGGTGTATTAAAGCCTTGGGCACGCAAACATTTTGGCCACAGGCTTTGAACATTTCAAAAGGACTCAGCTCCATCGCAATCAGCACGCGCCACCCAAGAATGGTTACAAAATGAGGTTCCTCTCTTCATTTCCAGCGCACAATGGTCATCAAAATCTCCGGATACCAATCCGTTGGACTATTTTGTCTGGAGTATTTTGGAAAGCAAGGTAGGCACTAAAAAATACCAAAGGATCGATAACCTCAAGCAAGCGCTTCGCCTGGAATGACCCAAAATATCGCAGAGCAACATTGGGGCATTTATCTCACTCTGTATATGTTTCATCTGATTTGGTGTTTAGGTCCCTCACATTCGTAATATGCACCCCACACGAATGATATTTGGTACCAGATATCAGATACAGACCAGAAATACCTCAAAGTGTATCAAGATTGGTTCAGATTTGGATATAGCTTCCATATATATCTTCAACCGACTTCGGGTTAATTGTGCAGCAAATGACCAATATCAGTCCAAATGACCGAATTCAGTCTGGAAGAAAGTGCATAACATTTGGTGAAAATCGGTTCAGGTATAGCTTTAGCTCCCAAATATATGTTTCATCCGATTTGAAATTTTAAGACCCCCACGTTCGCAATATGCACTCCACAAGAATGATATTTGGAATTTTTTTTTGACAAATAATAAAAATAATCGACTTCCTACGATCCCATTCAAAGGGAGATTTAAAACCTTATCTTGAAAAAAGGACCAAAAATACCCCTTTGCTAACTCGCGTGAGGGTTAAAATTTTCCACCAAAATATTCCTCGAACTTTTGTCTCCAATATTGCTGAAGACAATATATACCTAAAATGCACAAATTCTGAAGAATCGTAATCTGAATATTTCCAAAACTCTGGAATAGGGGAGAACTTACCCCCTCTATTTTGGTTACTTTTCAATGTAAACTTTCAAAAACCCGATACACTTGTTTTCTATTTTTAGCTCTACTTTCATAATATGTCGCATCTTTCCAGTTCATGTGTTGCACAGTGTAATATATAGCTCAAGACCTCCACGGTTGAAGCTCTGTTGATTCATTACAAATCATTTGAATAATAATATTTATATGTTTTTCAAACTTAATTTTAGGGTCTATGGCAGTTTTGAAAATCGCGACCCCATTCTGGTGATACGTGATCCGCAGCTTGTCAAGCGCATTCTAATCAAAGACTTTGATCATTTCGTGAATCGTCGTGGCGTATTTACCGAAGGCAGTGACAACATGTTTGGCAATTCCCTGTTCCTTATGGAAAATGATAAATGGCGTGATATGCGAAATACCCTGAGTCCAGCCTTTACGGGCAGTAAATTGCGCCAAATGTTTCAATTTATGTTGGACTCGACAAATGAGGCCATGAGCTATTTGCGAGAACAGCAGCAGGAAGGCGGACAGGAAATTGATGTAAAGGATTTCACAACCCGTCTGACAAATGACATTATCGCCTCGACAGCATTTGGCTTGAAGATCAATTCGTTTCGGGATAAGGATAACGAATTCTATACCAAGGCCATGTACATAATGAGTTTTCCGTTTGGAATACAAATGAAATTGATGTTTACCATGATGTTTCCACGATTGGCAAATGTGAGAGGGGGAGTTTTCAATTTCCATTTCGATTTAGAATTTTAAATTTTCAATTTCCAATTTTAATTTTTAATTTTCAATTTCCTTTAATTTCAGCTTCTAAACATACGAATATTTGGCAGGTATGCCGATTATTTCAGCAGCCTAGTCTTGGATGCCATGAAATATCGCAAGGATAACAATATACAACGTCCGGATATTATACAATTGTTAATGGAGGCCAGGGGTATGATTCCCTCCGATTCCCCCAAGATGCATTCACGTGAATGGTCCGATTTGGATTTGGTAGCCCAGTGTTTTGCTTTCTTTTTTGCTGCCCTTGAGACATCATCTTTGGTGATGAGTTTTGCCTCCCATGAGCTAATGGAAAATCCGGAGGTGCAGCAGAAACTCCATGAGGAAATAGAAAAATTTGAAAATCAATCTATAACACCTGAAATTTTACAAAAAATGCCCTATCTGGATATGGTTGTGTCGGAAGTTCTACGCAAATGGCCGGTGAATATATTCACCGATCGAATGTGTACCAAGGATTTTACGTTTGAATTCACGGATGAGGGGGGAGAACGCATTGAAATACGCAAAGGCGATGCTGTGCGTATCATCATGTCTGGCTTGCACAGAGATCCAAAATACTATGAAAATCCCAGTGCCTTTGATCCGGAACGTTTTAGTGAGGAGAATAAGAAAAATATTGATGCCGGTACTTATTTGCCATTTGGTTTGGGACCCCGCAGCTGTATTGGTAAGATCGGTACCCTCTGAGGTTACATATATATTTTTATGTATATTTTTTGTTGTAGGTTTACGTTTTGCTCTTTTGGAAGTTAAGGCCTTTTTGTTTTATCTGGTTCGAGACTATCGTTTGGAAGCCTCGCCACGCACCACACTGCCCATGGAAATTTCCACATCGAACCTTCATTTTGAACCCAAGGGTGGCTTTTGGTTGAAATTTGTACCAAGGAAATAAAGAGAAAATATTTTTAAAGAAATGAAAGGATGTGTACGCTTTTTATATCCTAAAATATAGGGTATGGGCTATTTGCATGCAGTGTAAGGGAAAAAGTTCCACATTTTTTAAAATTTTAAAATTAAGATTTCTTGGAATCCTTGCATTGTGGGTATATATTGTCTTCGGAAATATTACTGAAGACACTACGAGGATAATTTGAGTTGAAAAATTTAACCCTCAAGCGGCATACAAATGGGGTATTTTTGGTCCTTTTTTAAAAATATGGTTAAAAAATCCTCTCATTTGTCATGAAATTTTACTATTGGTACCAAAAACCATCAAAAGTCTAAATATTAACTAACCGCCAGGAATTAATAAACATGAAAAACGCATTTTAGGGTTGAAGCTATACTCTATGTGAGCTTATGCAAAAATGTCCACCAAAACATCGTCTTAGAAGGATGACGTCAAAGACAAAAATATTCCTCATCAAATATCTAGAAAATATTTGTTCCAATGTTGTCAAAAAAAAAAAAAAAAAATAAATAAATAAAAAATAAAAATCTCCAATAAATTTCCTAATACCGTTTATCAATTTTTCCTCCGTCTTTTTTCGAGTTGACGCCTGTTTTAAAAGAAGAAATATTCTACACAAAATTTGGCTATAAATTTCAGAATAAATCATATATCTAGGTACAATAGATTCTAAGAAAATTACATTGGAAATTTATATACTAGGAGTGAACATTTGGTGTTTGCTTTTTTTTTGTTAATCTAACACGTTTTCAATCTGAGTCGATATCTCCCTTTAAATTTCATTTTTTGGGAAAAGTGTCAAAGAAAGAATTATTCTAGACCAAATTTTAATGTACGTCTCCATACAAAAGAAATTTGTAGATTCAATACTTACGATAAAAAAAATATAATCAATTTTTATTTATTAAAAAAATTTTGGTCTTTTTGAAAAATTTTACATTTATAAATTGGAAATAAATGTTCTTATATTTTTACTATCCCATAGTCAGTCTGGATTGTATAAAATTCTAAGTGGATTTTAAATGACTCGTTTGTAGGGCAAACCCCTAAAGGAGTTTCGGGTTCTCAGGTCAAACATAGTTAAGCCATATTGTTTTGACCGTATATACAGGGTGAGATGAAAAAACTGCAACCAACTTCAGACTGCTGTCATTTCTAAGCCACTCGTCCGACAGCTGTTAAAATTATTCCAGTGACAGCTTATTATATTGTTTACAAGCGTACAAATGCATTTTGGTTAGAATTTTCCAGAAAAAAAAGTTATTCGTGATGGAATTCAAGCGTGATACTGTGATTTCTTTATATTTGGCTGGAAAACCACAAGTGGCTATCGTTAAAGCACTCCACCATTTAAATGTAAATAAATCGTTTGTGTCTCATACCATCGCTCATTACCGTGATACTGGTAGCGTAGCCTGATGTCAAGCAAGTGGACGGAAGAAAACAGCAACATCAGCAGAAATGGTTCGAAAGCTACAGAAGCGACTTGATCGAAACCCACGTCGCAGTGGCCGAAAAATGGCTCGTGAGCTGAAAATATTGGGATATTCCATTCGGCAAATATTGAAAAATAAGCTCGGGGCAAAGCCATTGAAATTTCAAAAAGTGCAAAAACTTACACCGCAACAGATAGAAAATAGACTCAAAAGAGCTAAAGAGATTCTTCGCTTGGCAGAAAGTGGTGAACTGCCGAATTTGGTTTTCTCCGATGAGAAAACATTCGTTGTCCAGCAGTTTGTAAACAAACGAAATGATCGTGTTTACTTGCCGAAGAGGTCAGCTGAAAATGTGCACCTTCGGTTGGCCACCAGAACTCAAGCGCCGGCCGTGGTGATGATGTGGGCAGCCAAAAATGCCCAATATTATCGCGAAAATATTTTGGAGGATGTATTAAAGCCTTGGACACGCAAACATTTTGGCCGCAGACCTTGGACATTCCAACAGGACTCAGGACATTCCCATCGTACTCAGCATGCGCCATCCAAGAATGGTTACGAAATAAGGTGCCTCGCTTCATTTCCAGCGCACAATGACCACCAAAATCTTCGCATACCATTCCGTTGGACTATTGTGTCAGGAGTATTTTGGAAAGCAAGGTTGGCACTAAAAAATACCAAAGTGTCGATCAACTTAAGCAAGGGCTTCGCCGGGAATGGGCCAAATTACCGCAGAGCAACATTGAGTCAGCATGTGACGGTTTCATTGGCCGTTTGAAGTCATAATTCCAAGTCTTATGACATGCCAACGCACCGTTACGGACTCTTTTGCCAGAATTTCAAGATTCTAGCTTCAGCCAATTCGTCTTCTTCACTACTCTCATATATGTATAGTTTGTAGTACCTCCAAAATCTGTTACCATTGGTTAAAAATACCAATATGTAGGCTATCTGAATAATGTACATCAGTACTGATACTACATTAGTTCCAATTAGTATTTCTCGTACTACAATTATAATATTAATTTACAAATTTAATTTAATTTACGTTGGGCGCCATTTTTTCATATTCTCTACATTATTTAGTATTAGTTTCATTTTTGCTACTTTTTTAGTTCAACTTTTTATGGACAGAGCTATATACGAAATAATTTAATTTCTTTACACACTCCTATAACTTTTTTTTAAAAAAGTTCGATTATTTCACCTATCCAAAAAAAGTCAAGTTTTCAGCTTCTCACCCTTCGTCTACACCATTACCATTCAACCATTATCAATCCACTTTACAATATATATGTACATTCGTACGAACAAAGAATTAAAGTTGTTTATTGTGCCCACCCTTTATATATATTTGACCCCTGTCCACTACTAATTGGTGCCACTGTATAGAAAAGTACGCTTTAATCAATTTAAACCAAACAAAGAATTTCAATTTGCGGGAGAACCATAGAGAATATCAACATTTATGCCACTCGATTTCTGTAGATCCCAAACTGTGCAGAGAAAATAACGCTTAAGCGTGACAAGCTGTTGTCTTCGGAGGGGTTTTGTTATCGCTTCTATCAGTATTCATAAAAGCGCCGGCCAGTGAACACATAATATAAACAAACTCTGATTAATACGGAAAACACAAACAACAACAGAAGATCATCAAACTTGACCTTGACAATGTTGTTTGAAATTTTGCTATTCGTATTTTCGCTATTTTCTCTAGCGTTTGTTTATCGTTGGGGTAAAAAAGATCATGATTTTTTCGTTAAACGTAATATACCTTATGAAAAGCCGGCTTTTATATTCGGCGGATCGCTCGACATAATTTTACGAAGAAAGACGGTGGTACAAGCGTTACTGGAAATGCACATGAAATATAAGGGCATGTAAGTTATTGGAGGAGATGGTATGGGTGAATTTTTTCATGTAAGGACAATTACAAAAGGTTACAATTGTGGAACAGTGGGGCGATACAGCCCAAAAGATAATACCTATCTGAGCTGAGTTCAATTCTGTTATTTTAACACTAACGAGACGATTGAAACAATTTCTTGAAATGTAATTAAATGTAGTAAAGAAGGTGTAATTGTGTACTTCCATAGTCCATATTCGAACTGAATACTTTGATCTGTTACACTGTGCAACAACAAATATAATTACAGGAAAAACTTTGTGAAAGTACAGCTAAAAATATCGGCGTTGAAAAAGTTTACATCGCAAGTAACCAAATAGAGGGGACAATTTCCCGCCTCCACCACATTTTTTTGAAATTTCGGATTTGAAATTCCTTGTTATCCTAGTATTTTAGGAATATATGACACTATACGGGTGAGATGAAAAAATTGCAACAAACTTCAGACTTTTATCATTTCTAAACCACTCGTCCGACAGCTGTTAAAATTATTCCAGTAACAGCTCATTATATAGTTTACAAGCGTACAAAAGCATTTTGGTGAGAATTTTCCAGAAAAAACGTTATTCGTGAGGGAATTCAAGCGTGATAGTGTGATTTCTTTATATTTGGCTGGAAGACCACAAGTGGCTATCGTTAGAACACTCCAGCATTTAAATGTGAATATATCTTTTGTGTTTCGCACCATAGATCGTTACCGTGATACTGGTAGCGCAGCCCGATGTCAAGAAAGTGGACGGAAGAAAACAGCAACATCAGCAGAAATGGTTCGAAAAGAAAAGAAGTGACTTGATCGAAACCCACGTCGCAGTGGCCGAAAAATGGCTCGTGAGCTGAACATATCGCAATATTCCATTCGGCAAATATTTAAAAATGAGCTCCGGGGAAAGCCATTGAAATTCCAAAAAGTGCAGGAACTTACACAGCAACAGAAAGAAAATAGACTCAAAAGAGCAAGAGCAATGCTTTAGCTTCGCTTGGCCGAAAGTGGTGAACTGCCAAATTTGGTTTTCTCCGATGATAAAACATTCCGATGAGATTGTCCAGCAGTTTGTAAACAAACAAAATGATCGCGTTTACTTGCCAAATAGGTCAGCTGAAAATGTGCACATTCGGTTGGCCACCATAACTCAAGCGCCGGCCAAGATGATGGTGTGGACCGCCATAACAGACGATGGTCGCTCTCCGCTCGTATGAATCGACCGTGGCATCAGAATAAATGTCGAATATTATCGCGAAAATATTCTGGAAGGTGTATTAAAGCCTTGGGCACGCAAACATTTTGGCCGCAGACCTTGGACATTCCAACAGGAACTCAGAACCAGCGTACTCAGCACGCGTCACCCAAGAATGGTTACAAAAGGAGGTTCCTCGTTTTATTTTCAGCGCACAATAACCACCAAAAACCTTCGGATACCAATCCGTTGGACTATTGTGTCTGGAATATTTTGGTAAGCAAGGTTGGCACTAAAAAATACCAAAGTGTCGATCACCTCAAGCAAGCGCTTCGCCGGGAATGAGCCAAAATACCGCAGAGCAACATTCGGGCAGCGTGTGACGGTTTCATTAGCCCTGTGAAAGCTATAATTCGTGCCAAAGGTGACCAATTCGAATAAATCTACACTTATTCTAAAATTTGATGCTATCTCCGACTTTTTTGCTTTCATTTAATAAAATTTAAAAATAATTATGGCGTTTGACTTTGTTGCAGTTTTTTTAACTCATCCTGTAATTTGGTATTGAGTGAACATAGTGCACGAAATCTAAAATTTGATTCTAGGGTCCCTGTTTATAGGTAGTAGCCTGGACGTGGTTTTAGAAATGTGTTTTATAATTGTACGAAACGTACTGAATGGTACTATATTTGATATTGGGTGAATGGATAAAGATACAATTCTGAAATTTGATATTTTTTATTACTGATGGTATTTGTGTTTGGGATTTGGTGCTGGTTTGGAAATCCGTCCTATATTTGTACCATGGGTACTCAATTTTGATATTGAGGTTTCTGATGGTATCTCGAATTGAGATATGAAGTTGGTTTTGGTTTTGTATTATATTTGTAAGAAAAGTACTAAATAGCACTGTATTTAGGTCCCTGTTCATGTGTAGCCTGGACATATGCAGTTGGTTTCGGAAATGTGTACTTAAATTGTACGAAAAGTACTAAATGGTTCTATATTTGGTATTGGGTGAAGAAATAGAGCTGAAATTTTGAAATTTGATGAGGATGTCACTGTCGGTGTCTATTACTAAGAGATGGAGAATCTGTAATTTGGAAAATAACTCATGTAAAAATATGTCTGCAAATGCCGAAATTCTAGGTATCGAGGCGTATGCGTATAGGAACATCAAATCCCAATTCTCCTTTAGAAAACTTTCGGTTTTTTTTTTGAAATTTTTTAGATGGCGGAGACCGTGTAGGCCGTGCTTAGAGGAGAAAATTTCAGGCCCGGTCGGACGCCGATACTCTAAAGGAGTATCAAATTTAGAAAAGCTTTGTTGAGATTATGTCCAACACCGGCTACCGTCCTGCCGAAGTCCTGTTATCTATGATAGCATAAAATTTAGAAAAAAAACTGAACAGAATGTACTGAACAGAATCGGGCTGTTTGGATTCATATCTCTAGATTCAAGAAAGATAATAGCATTTTGGAACGGTTGGAGTGTAAGCTACAATTTGGTATTTTTTTGTGAACTGCTACAACGGGACATTTTTCGACATTTTGGAGTTTTTTCCAAAAAAAAAAACCAGGTCCAAAAAATCAATAATTTTGATACAACTCCCGAACCTTTTTGAATGTAATAACTTCCTGCATAATTAGCTTCCAAATGATAAATATATTTTCCGCTTTAGTAGGTCCGGGCTTAACCTGGGTCTTGGACCTGGATTTTCGGCTCAAATATCCGGGCGTCAGGGTTTGTCTCCCAAGTAAAACCTACTTTCCAGGAACTACGTTAAAAATGGAAATAAATTCAGAGTTTAGCTGAAAGGTCTAACTCGAACAGTTGGAACGAATCTAAAATGTTAGGGTGGATTTTTGTTTTTAAAGTAGCCGGCACTTCCTACTTTAGATTTTTAATATATTCTGTAGTAGATTTGGATGACAAATAAATTTGTAGAATATTTTAAATTGCTACGATGCCATTTAAGGAGAGTTTTTAATCATGCTGTGAAAAAGGACCAAAAACACCTTTAATGACTCACTGAAGACTTCAAATCTTCGACAAAATGATCCTACGTTGCCTGTAATATACCAAAAATTTCAAAAATGTGGGTGATGGCTTTTCCCGATCACCCAATATCAATCATACAAAATTAAGTACATTTTGATACTTTTTGTACACTTTCAGTACACAATGTATTTTGCCATAATCAACCTTAATAGAAAAATCAGAACTCTCCATAATTTCCACTGTCTCACTCACTCAGAAAAAAAATTCAAAATCTAAGCTGGAGCCCTATTTTATTTTCCACTGTCACTCAATTCATTAGGCTTGCACATTTTTTCCATCCCACAGCGTTCATATTATTAACATAGAAAACTTTTTTCAGGGCATATGGAGCCTTCGACAATCGCAGACCTGTCCTGATGCTGCGAGATCCCCAGCTAATCAAACAAATTATGATCAAGGATTTTGATCACTTTGTTAATCGTTCCGATATGTTTGAGGGCGATGAAAATCTCTTCAGTAGCTCCTTGATCACAATGAAAGATGATACATGGCGGGAGATGAGAAATACCCTAAGTCCAGCATTTACGGGACGAAAAATGCGTCAAATGTTTGAATTGATGTTGGAAAAACAAAACGAGGCAATGATCTACTTGAAGGATAAACAAGGCAAGGGAGAGGATGGATTTGCATTGGAAGTAAAAGATTTTACAACGCGCCTAACACATGGCATAATTGCCAGCACTGCATTTGGTCTGCAAGTCAACTCATTTCGTGATGAAGACAATGAATTCTATCGGCGCGCAAAGAAGGCTGTTAATTTTGACTCTCTGGGTCAGTTAAAGGCATTTTTTACAATTATCTTTCCCAAATTAGCCAAGGTATGTATAGTTTTCGGTATTTTAGGAATATATTCATAGATTTTAGGAAAATGTTCATTGAAGTTATGTAAGAGTTTTTAGATTTAAGAGAAGCCGAGTATTATTCCTTAAATTGATTTAAGCTGTGGTGTTTGTTCAAAAATTATTTAAAGAAATTTTCTTTTTGGGAAATTTAAGAATTTCGTTCCTAATTTGCAAAACTCTGGTACCTAAAATTTGAGACTTATTAGTTTATAAAGGAAGCACCAATTGTGTGTTTTTGAAGTTTATGAACTTTTTCTTGAAATATAAGAACTATTTTCCAATTTCATTTACAGTTCCTAAAATCGAGTTATGCAATAAAGATTCCTCAAAATATTTTATTAAAAATACAATTTTGGAACAGTTTTCTTAGAATTTACATTTCATACACTTTTTGTATTTGTTCAGAATACCGTTTTCATATTTTAATTTAAAGAACTTTTTCATAGAATTTATGAACTGTTTTCCTAATTTTATTTTCAGTTACTTAAAATGGTATCATTCGATAAATATTTCTCTAATTATTTTATGAATTAAACATTTAAGAATAGGTATTTTCCTAAATCACGTTTTCATATTTCAAATTTAAGAAATTTTTCTTGGAATTTAAGAACTGTTTCATATTTTTTTATTTTTTGAGTGCTTGTCTGAAATTAAGGTTTTTTTTTGAAATCAAACTTTAAGCAAAGATTCATACAATTTGGAATAAGAATTGTTTACTTTTTCTGCTCTTGACGTTTATTTTACTTTTAGGAACTTTGTCATAGAATTTATGAACCATTTTCCTCTTTCCCATTACAGTTACTTAAAATCGAGTTATTCGACAAGGATTTCTCCGATTATTTTATGCGTTTAGTATTGGACACCATGAAATATCGTGCTGAAAATAATATACGTCGTGCCGACATGATTGATCTGCTCATGGAGGCCAAGGGTATGATACCCAATGAAAATTCCATTAAGGCACAACATCGTGAATGGTCTGATTTGCAAGTGGTGGCCCAATGTTTTCTCTTTTTCTTTGCCGCATTAGAACCCCTGTCGGGTGTTATGAGTTTTGCTCTTCACGAGCTGATGGAATATCCCGATGTACAAGAAAAACTTTACGAAGAAGTGCAGGAGAATAATGATCAGTTGGAGGGCAAACAAGTTACATATGACGTTCTGCATAAAATGCCCTACATGGATATGGTAGTGTCGGAAGTTTTACGTAAATGGCCGGTGGCATTGGTGGCGGATCGCACATGCACCAAGGATTATGTCTATGAGTCGCCGGTGACTAAAGAACGTTTGGAAATCCGTAAAGGTGATATTGTGCGAGCTTCGATGGTGGGGTTACATCACGACCCGAATAATTTTCCAGATCCTGATACATTAAATCCGGAACGTTTCAGTGAGGAAAATAAATCACTAATTGAAAATGGAGCATATTTCCCATTTGGTTTGGGTCCTCGCAACTGTATTGGTAGGTTGAAATGTTTTGGAATTTGTGAATTGGATGCTAATGAATATCCTTTTAGGAAATCGTTTTGCTTTGTTGGCCATCAAGGCTTTTCTTTACAACATCATACGTGATTATCGTTTAGAGGTATCGGATAAAACCTGTCTACCGCTGGAATTGGATAAGAAAACATTCCAACTCAGACCGGTTGGTGGATTTTGGATACAATTTAAACCGAGACATTGATACGAGTTTGGAGATATTATTGGAATACAATAAAGAGACTTATAATTAAATAAAATTAAACTATCGTTATCGAAACATCTATCTACGAATTGGATATTTATTAAGAATTAGATCCTTCCAGAAATTCTTCCTAAACTTTCAAGATGCCTTAAATCGCCTTTGCAGGTCATGATATCGGTCAACGGTATAACGGTACACCCCGATTTCAAATATATTTTACATTTTAACCATATTTATACCATACAACACTATGTGTTGGGGGTATTAAAAGCTTGATTGGGTAAAAATTATGTAACACCTCGAATTATTGGTTTTCTGCTGAGGAAAATATATATGGATCTTCCTATCTCGCCGAGCTGAGTCGATCTAGCTGTGTGTGAGATAAAAAAACTGCAACAAAGTCAAACGCCATAATTTTTTACATTTTTATACCCTCCACCATTTTATCTCTCCTATAACTCCTCGAAATATTCATAATAGACCCTACAACCTATATATATTCTGGAACAGGGTAAAATTCTAAGACGATCTAGCAATGTCCGTCTGTCTGTCCGTCTGTTGTAATAACGCTATCTTTCGAACGAATTGAGATAGAAGGCTAACATTTTGCACACATACATAGTTTACCAGTAGATAGGTTAAGTTCGTAAATGTGCCATGTAGGTCCACGTTTTCATATAGCCCCCATATAACGGTACCTCCAGATATTCGGAATTTTGATGCGTTTAGCGACATTATTCACCGGAATCGTTTCAAATTTCGTACTGGAAGATACCAATGGGTACTACAGACTATGACAAAAATTTTTGTATGCAGGTTCACGTCTTCGTATAGCCCCCATATAACGGTACCTCCCTATATTCAGTATTTTGATGATTTCAGCAACATTATTTACCGGAATCGTTTCAAATTTCGTACTGGAAGATACCACTGGGTACTACAGCCTATGGCAAAAATTTTTGTATGCAGGTTCAGATCTTCGTATAGCCATCATTTAACGGTACCTCCCGATATTCGGTATTTTGACGATTTCAACAACATTATTCACCGGAATCCTTTCAAATATCGTATTGAACGATCTTAATGGGTACTACAACTTATGGCAAAAAAAATCGTATGCAGGTCCACGTCTTCGTATAGCCTCCATGTGACGGAACCTCACGATATTCGTTATTTTCGTGACTTTGGCGACATTATTTACCGGAATTATTTAAAATTTCGTATTTGAAGTTCGTAATGGGTACTACAGCCTATGAAAACAATTTTAATATGAAGGTCCACGTCTTCGTATAGCATCCATATTTACCGGTACTACAACTTATAGCAAAAAAATCGTATGCAGGTCCACGTCTTCGTATAGTACCTCCGATACTCCGTATTTTCATGATTTTTGCGACATTATTCACCGTACTTGTAACAAATTTCGTATTTGAAGTTCGTAATGGGAACTACAGCCTATAATTTTTCAATTTCCTTCCAAATGGTGGAGGGTATTAAAAGTTCGGCCCGGCCAACTTAGCTAGTTTTTTACTTGTTGTTTTTTTTTTAATTTTATTGAATGAAAGCAAAAAATGTCGGAAATAGTATCAACTTTTAGAATAAGTTTAGATTTGTTCGAATTGGTCACCTTTGGGACGAATTATGGTCTTCAAACGGCCAATGAAACCGTTACACGCTGCCCGAATGTTGTATTTTGGCCCATTCCCGGCGAAGCGCTTCCTTGAGGTGATCGACAAATTGGTATTTTTTAAGTGCCGACATTGCTTTACAAAATACTCCAGGCACAATAGTCCAACGGATTGGTATCCGGAGATTTTGGTGGCCATTGTGAGATGGAAATGAAGCGAGGAACCAAGAATGGTTCTTGGGTGGCGCGTGCTGAGTGCGATGGTGCTGAGTCCAGTTGGAATGTCTAAGCTCTGCGGCCAAAATGTTTGCATGCGATAATATCCGGCATTAATTCTGATGAAAGGTAGATTAATACGAGAGGAGAGCGACCATCGGCTGTTATGGTGGCCCACTCATTACCATGGCCGCCGCTTGAGTTCTGGTGGCCAACCAAAGGTGCACATTTGCAGCTGACCTCTTTGGCAAGTAAACACGATCATTTGGTTTGTTTACAAACTACTGGACAACGATTGTTTTGTCATTGGATAAAACCATAATCGGCAGTTCACCACTTTCGGCCAAGCGAAGCAACTCTTTAGCTTTTTTGAGTCTATTTTCTTTATGTTGCGGTATAAGTTCTGGCACTTTTTGGAATTTCAATGGCTTTACCCCGAGCTCATTTTTCTATATTTTCCGATTAAAATATTGCGATATGTTCAGCTCACCAGCCATTTTTTGGCCACTGCGACGAGGGTTTCGATCAAGTCGCTTCTTTACTTTTGGAACCATTTCTGCTGATGTTGCTTTTTTCTTCCGTCCACTTCCTTTACGTCGGGCTACACTACCAGTATTGCGGAAACGAGCGATGGTACGAGATACAAAAGATTTATTCACATTTAAATGCTGGAGTGCCCTAACGATAGCCACTTGTGGTTTTCCAGCCAAATATAATCAAAATCTTACTATCACGCTTGAATTCCATCACGAATAACTTTTTTTCTGGAAAATGCTCACCAAAATGCTTTTGTGCGCTTGTAACAAAATGAGCTGTCACTGGAATAATTTTAGCAGCTGTCGGACGAGTGACTTAGAAATGATAGCAGTCTGAAGTTGGTTGCAGTTTTTTCATCTCATCCTGTTTATCTGTTGTGGTTAGCTTTGCTAAATATGCATTATGGTTTAGGTTATCATATTGTCGGTCTACTTGACTTTTCTCCCTTAATTATAGGTTCACTTAATTTGCGTTATTATTTTTTAACGGAGTCAGCGTTATCGAGCGCCCACTTTAATGCCTGAAATCTCAACAAGTGTTAAATAATTATCATAAATCTAAAATAGGAGTTAAGTTATTGATTGCAACATTTAGCAAAATGATGAAATTCGAAACTAAAGCAGACAAGTACTTAAGCTGATAACTGAAGGACAAAGAGGATGGGGTTTTCCAGATAACTCTAATAAGTAAAGAAAAACTATTACAAGGAAAGGAAATATTACATTATATACTGTTATAAAAAAATCTCCTGTAGATGGGAGACAGGTCAACATAGGTTTTTCTATTAAGAGCACACAATTAGAGATATTTTCAAAAAGTATTCACTTATGGGTCCTCTGTAGAAAAAAACGCACATTTTTAAAACCACTATTGGTTTGGTTACACTATCGGTTAAATGCATGTGCTTTTCCTAGTTCTAAGCTTTCCAAGTTCCGCACAGACGACCTTTCATACTTGCTTTTCAATTAACCCCACGCAATTAATACTCTGGAATACTCTCTCCCTCTCCTTCTCTTTCTCTCCCTTGAATAACAAAAAATATTATTTATTTCATAATGACGAGATAGATAAAAGCGCTCGCTTTGTTTTTGTTGACATCAGTAGCCGGCTATCGGGCAGTGTTTAAAAATAAAATATAAAATATAACTGATCTATAACAACGGAATTAGTTGGCTTTCAATCATTTTAGTATTCGGCTGGTATTAGAAGCGTGGAGATCATATTTTTTATTTTGCTGTATGAGTATTATTCGATCGGCATGTGGATTGAGTTAAGCATTCTATTGGCTACGGCCGCCTTTGCTATTTATCGCTGGGTAACGGCTAACAATGATTATTTTGTCAAACGTCAGATCCCATTCGATAAGCCGGTATTTTTAATGGGCAGTTTTGTGGAACTGCTGCGGCGTAAGAAACCCCTCTACGATGTTGTGATCGATTTGTACAACAAACATGATGGCAAGTAAGGAAAAAGAATTCAATTGTGATTTTATGGAAATAATAATAAAGATGATAATAATAATAATAATAATAATAATAATAATAATAATAATAATAATAATAATAATAATAATAATAATAATAACAATAATAATAATAATAATAAAAATAATAATAATAATAAAAATGCTAACAATAATAAGAACGAATATAATAAATATAATAAAATTAAAAAATAATAATAACAACAACAAGAGTTACAATAACAATGATAATGATAACAATAATTTACCCTCTGCATAATGCCTATTTCGCCTTTCGCTCATTGGCATAAAGAGTGCTCACAAGTATATAAGCTGTAACTCTATGAATTCTACAGATATCAATAAGAAAGCTTGTTAGAACGTTAAAGTGTAATTCGTAGAAAAACTAAAAAAAAAACGATTTTGTGAGTTGTGCTACTTTTGGGATAAACGAGCGAATTAATACGGATAAGGGGGTCTCATCAAAATTACAGCTTTTGAAGTCATTTCCCTTTGAACGAAATCCGTTTCAGAATATTTGAAGTTGATCTAGTGATGCCTATGTGATCCTTAAGGATCCAAACTTTGCATCAAGTTCTATAAAAATGAGCTGTGCGAACTGAGCAATATTGGAACACTCTAAATAAACTATTATTTTAAATTAGATGGTCCCTTATAAATTAATAAAAAAAAAAATAAATGATTCTAAAAGGTCCTTAAAAAATTAAATTATTAATTAATATTTTGGCAAAGATCTTGGAATGAGAGTCACTAATGGAGTGTGGGATAGATGTACCAAAGGGGTTTTTAAAATTCGAATCTTAGTATTACGAAAAATTCCAAAATGGTGCTAAACTGAACGGATTGAGCTAAAATTGAAATTTTGGTATGAGAATCAAGGTTGGAAAGTATGTTTGATATATGCAGGTGGTTTTGGAAATGGTTACTAAGTGTGCGAACTGTACTAAATGGTACTAAATTCGGTATAGTTTGGTTTAGGGTGAACGGATGAAGCTGGATTTTGAAATTTTGTATTGAGAGGCAGGTTTATGATAAAGAGGAGACTTTGTAAATGGAACTATATTTGGTACAACTTGACATTGGGCAGATAGTGCTAGAAAACTGAAATTTGGTATTAGGGTCGCTGTTCATGTGTAGTCTGGACATATGGTGGTGGTTCGGATACATGATACGAAAAGTACTAAATGGTACGAGATTTGGTATTTGGTGAAGGGATGGGGTGAAATTTGTTATTGAGGTATTTGTTGGTATCTGGAATTGAGATCTCGAGGTGGTTATGGAAATTCTGAAAAGTACTAAATTGGGTAAATGGTGAAGGTATAGAGCTGAAATTCAAAAAGTTGATATTTATGTCACATTTTGTGTCTGTCGTTAACATATGGAGGTGGATTTGGAAATGTGAGCTATAATTATGCGAAAAGTACTTGGAAGTACCGGTTGAGAGTATAGAGATAATATTTTGAAATTTAGGAAGCGGTTTGGAAATGCGTCTTATGTTTGTATGAAAAGTACTAAATGATACAAAATTTGGCTTTGGGTTAAGGGATAGGCCTGGAATCTTCAAATTTGATATTCAGATAATTGTTGTTATCCAGAATTGAGATATGGAGGTGATTATAGAAATGTGTACTACAATTGTACGAAAAGTACTAAAGAAATGTACTACTAAATCCGGTAAAGAATAAATGATATATAGCTGAAATTCAACGATTAGATACTACTGTGGCAGCTGTGCTTGGTTAAGATGTGGAGGTAGTTTTGGGAAATGTGTCCTATATTTTTACGAAAACTACTAAATGGTGCGAAATTTGGTTTTGGGTGAAGAAATAGGGCTGTAATCTTCAAATTTAATATTGAGATCATTGTCGGTATCTGTAATTGAGGTATGGAGGTAGATTTGGAATTGTCTACTATATTTGTACGAAAAGTACTAAATGGTAGTAAATTGGGTGAAGGAATGGACCTGAACTTTGTCAAGTTTCTGTGGTTAAGATATGGGATTGCATTTGGAAATGTGTACTATAAATGTACGAAAATACTGCATGAGTATTGGGTGAGGGGATAGAGATAAAATACAGAAATTTGATATTTCCTATAAGTGTACGAAAATTACAAAATGTGGTTAAGGGATGGGATGTGAACAAAAATTAGTAAATGACACTAAATTGGGTATTGGGTTAAGGGATAGGGCTGGAATATTCAAATTTAATATTGAGATCTTTGTTGGTATCTGGTATTGATATAAGGAGGTGGTTTTGGAAATGTTTTCTACAATTGTACGAAAACGTACTTAAAACTACTAAATTGGGTAAAGGGTGAAGGTAAATAGCTTAAATTCAAAAATTTGATATGGATGTCACGGTTGGTGTTTGTGGGTAAGATATGGAGGAGGTTTTGGACGAAAAGTACAAAATGGTACGAAATTTGAGTTTAAGATTAGGGATTGGGCTGGAATTTTCAAATTGAATATTGAGGTCATTGTTGGTATCTGGAATTGGAAATTGATATAGATGTCGCTGTTGGTATCAGAGGTTAAGATATGGAGGTAGTTTTGGAAATATAATAATATAATATAATTTCTCGGAGAGTAGTGCTGAAATTTTGAAATTTGATATTGAGGTCACTGCTGGTTTCGAAGGTTTACCTATGGAGAACTTCTGAAATTTTGACCCCTTTGACGAAATGGCGTGGGAAACTATTAACCTGTCCTAAGCCTGATATAGATATTAATTTGAACTATATTGGGTACTCTCCTCGCTCTTACTAATTTTTTTGGAAATTTTAATTTTTTAATTAATATTCTTGCCCATAATCAAACTAGATGTATGTTTTGTTAAAATATTACCATTTCCGAAGTTTGGTCCAAAACGGATACTTCCTTCGAAAGATATCGTGCCACCAGTCAGATGAACGGACCTAATGGCTAGATCAAATTCAATTATGATAAAAAGGATTGCGTCCGAAGATAAATGGGCCTTATATTGCTATTTTGATAACAAATAATATAGCCCTTAGGATACAGAAATATTTTGGCTCTACAGCTTTAAAGAAATCGGTATATTTTTTATTAACATATGCTTCGATCGTTTTTTAATTTCAGAGTTTATGGCATTTTCGATCAACGACAACCAATGCTGCTCGTTCGTGATCCAGAGCTAATCAAAAACATAGCCATTCGAGATTTTGATCATTTTCTAAATCATCGAAATACCTTCCGCAATGATGAAACCGAGGAGAGTCATATCTTTGGATCGTCGTTGATATTCATGAGGGATGGGAAGTGGAAGGATATGCGCAACACTTTGTCGCCAGCGTTTACGGGGAGCAAGTTGCGCAGCACTTTTCTGCTGATGAATGATGTGGCCCAGCAGGCCTGTAGCTATTTAATTAAGCAACATAAGAAATCCTCCGCTGGAGAGGGGGTGGAATTGGATTTGAAAGATTTTGCCAAACGTTTTACCACCGACATTATTGCCACTGTGGCCTTTGGCATTCAGGTGAACTCCTTCGATGATGTCGACAATGAATTCTATTTGATGGGTAAACGAATTACCAACTTCTCATTTTGGACGAATATCAAATTTGTTTTGATAACCAATTTGCGGTGGTTGTGTAAGGTGAGGGAGAAGATTTAAAATTTTGGTATTGATTAAACAAAAAAAAAAAAAAAAAAAAAAAAATAATGAAAATGATTTCAGATTTTAAAAATCGATCTCTTTAGTAAAAAAGTCACCGATTATTATATGGATTTGGTAATCAAGACCATGAAATATCGCAAGGCCCACAATATTTTGCGTCCCGATATGATCAATATGTTAATGGAGGCCAGATATTCGGAAGCCTCCAACAAGTCGTCGAAGTATCAATGGGATGACACCGAAATGGCAGCCCAATGTTTGTTGTTCTTCTTTGCCGGGTTTGAATCGGTATCCTCTCTCTTGAGTTTTGCCGCCTATGAACTTATGGAAAATCCTGAGGTGCAAGAAAGACTTTTTGAAGAAATCACGGAGATCTCAGAAAATCTGGAAGATGGAGAACAATTAACCTATGAAATTTTACAACAAAAAATGCCCTACTTGGATATGGTTATATCGGAAGTGTTGCGCAAATGGCCACCCACCCTGGCCACAGATCGTGTTTGCACCAAGGATATTAGCTATGAGCTGGATGGGGGTAAAAAAGTGGAATTAACACCAGGTGATTCTTTGTGGTTCCCCATCATTGCCCTGCACATGGATTCGAAATATTGGTCGGAGCCAGAGAAATTCATACCGGAAAGATTTAGTCCCGAGAATAAGGAGGACATCAAACCATTTACCTATATACCATTTGGTGTGGGTCCTAGAAATTGTATAGGTATGTACAGAGGGGATTTTTTGAATAGATGACTTTATGAAGCTCCATGATTTACAGGTTCCCGCCTTGCCTTATTGGAAGCCAAGGCCTTTTTGTTCCATTTGGTAAGACAATTCCGCATCGAACGCTCATCGAAAATGTGTAACCCCTTCAAGATCAGCACCAAGACGTTTGAATTTATACCGGAAGGAGGATTTTGGTTGAAATTGGTACCAAGAGAAAAATAAAGAAATGTGAATTTTTGATAAATATAAAAATAATACTAAGAGCAATTTAATGCGGTAAAGGGAACTAAGATCGGGTGGGTCACACTTAAAATATACTAATATGAGCCCCCTTTTATAAGCGAAAAATCCATATCAATAGAAAAGCGAGTAAAAACACTATACGACAAAATTTATGATTTTCCATAATTACAAGAAAAGTCCAGCAGATGGAGGAGGCTCTCTGCAAAATTTTTTAGAATTTTCGGATTAAGATTCCTTGGAATCTCTACATTTTAGGTGTATATTTCGACTCTATTACAGATAACAATTTGTATGTCATTTTAAATATATATCGAGTGAATCAATGGGTCTTTTTGGATCTTCTTCCAAAATATGGTTAATAAATCTCTCTAAACGAGATTGCAGCAAGTCGAAATATTCTACAAATGTATTTGTCATAAAATTCTGTTATAGTTCTCAGAAGACATCTAAAGTCTAAATCTTTCCTCAACGCCAGAAATTCATAAATTCTAAAAACACATTTTAGGGTTAAAGATTTACTTTATGTGAGTTTATGCAAAAATCTCTACATAGCATCATTTTGGAAAGATAAGATCAAGGGCAAAATTACTCTTCCTCAAATTTCATTCCATTGTAACAAAAAACAAGTAAGCAAAGGCTATAGTCGTACGGGACCGACCATGTGATACCCTACAACACTACAATATGTTAGAAGCACCCTTATGTCCAAATCCATTTTGCAAGATTGTGCTTTTGAAATTATGATATAGAGTACTGCCCAGATACTGTCCTTAGCATTTTGACTATGGACATTTGCAAAATATTTACGCACTCCGTCGTGTTGTTAGTTGTTGTGGTCCACCTGACAGCTAAATATAATGCAATGGTCATCCATATAATGCAATTTTCCCTGTCCTGTGTGATCAGGAATTTTTTTTTTGTTTTTGGTTTATTTGAACCCCTAAATATTTTGCGATTATCTCCAAAAGTAAGAATTCCCTCTGTATCATCAAATTTAGACTCATCTATATGATTTGGCTATATTCGTCAACGAAATCAGCATCAAAAGCCAGAAGTTGGCCTTTTGTGTATTTCGGATATCGCCTGTAAGTAATGTTGGTATTTTTTTTTACAGTGGTCCATTCCACCCGATGTCCTAAACTCTAATTTCATGCGAGATTTCGTGTCCTTAGGTTTCTATTCGTGACCTTTTTAACGGCTGAAAAATCAGGAACATTTTTATTTGTTGGTCCATTTCAACCCCTAGATATATTGCGGATATCTTTGAAAAAAATGGGCCTAGCCCTTCTGGGTCTAAAATGTGAAGATTTTCGTGAGGATCGGACGATAATTGCAATCTGTATATAATAACCCCAACCTGTGTTGTAAGGTGAAAAAATATTAGAATTATTATTCAATATTATAATTCAATATTATAAGTCAAATTGAAAAAATCGCATGCGATAAAAAATATGAAAAACTAAAAAAATGTCACAAAATCTACATTTACAACATTATTGGCATATTTTTATGCGATTTTTCTAGGTTTTTTTCTTTTATGCCAAGAGGGCATTCTGAATTGACCAAATTTGTCAAAATCTGTCCAGCCACTCTTGAGATATAAGCATTCTAGCTAACATCCCCTTCCTTTGTATATATACATTGTACATATTTCGCTATATATATCCGATATTTTTACTATCAGAATCTATGTAACGGTCAGAATTGACCTGTTCGTCTATTTGGGATTTCGCCGGGATTAAAAATATTCGCGGTTTAATGGAAAATTTGACTTTTATTTAACAGAAATGTTATGGTCTATTTCACCCACTAAATATTACCCGATGACCACCAAAATTGGAAGGCTTCTGCCCAGCCTGAAGCTCTAGCCCTATGCTAACTTCCGCTTTGTTTGCTCCATAATTGCGTCCTGTAGAGCAACTGCAAAATCATGAAATTTTTCAGTTTTTGGTCCATTTCAACCCCTAAATATTATTTGATCATCTCCAAAAGAAATAGGGTTCTATTCTGACTCACCCCGCACCTCCATTCTAAATTTCGTGAAGATCGGACCATAATTGCGACCTGTAGAGTGATTACAAATTAACATGGACAGACGGACGGACGGACATACATAGCTAGATCAACTCAGCTCGGCGAGATAGGAAGATCCATTTATACTTTCCTATATGGGAAAACAATATTTCGAGGTGTTACATAATTTTTGGCCCAATCAAACTTATAATACCCCCAACACATAGTGTTGTAGGGTATAATAAAAATAAATAAATAAATCTTGTCAAAAAATAGGAAAAAATTATATTTCCTAATTTTTCTACCCTACACCAAATAAGGGCATTATGTCTGTTTGTGTCATTTGTTTGTAATATGACTAAGGAAGCGAGATGGACCCATAGTTACTTTTGAGGATCTTCATAGAATCACTTTCTGAGTCGATTTATGCATTTCAGTCCGTCCTTCTGTCCATCTATTTTTGTGGGCATAATGAAGGTCGCATTTATTATCCGATTGAGATGAAATTTTCCAAACAATTTTTGTTTGGCCCAAGGACTGTTGACCCTTTATGGGAAAGGTTCCGAAGCAGTTGGCCAATATTGACAAAAAAAATATTGACCTAAGACTTATATAAATATTACAACGTGCCAGATTTGGACTATATCGACTACTTCCTATACTTCATATGGGAGATGTGCATATTTTTGAAAAATGTGGAAATATGCGTGTGGCCATATGTAGCGGACCGACATATTCAATTTTTCCAATACATATAAATGTATGTTGAAGTAAATCTGACACTCATGTCCAATTTTATACAAAATCATAAATTCCGATACATTACATATTCATATCAGATTTGGCGTTAAGAGAAATATTTAGATATAGCAAGTTGTATAGAATCACCGACTTGTATCGCATGTTATGACAGGTATAAGTACTAGAAATTTCGACCCTTTGTGAGTGAGGTACCAGAAGGGTTTCGCAGATATATATCATCTTCACAACACATCTTGCATTAGCAGAAATGTTTGTAGGTGTGAAATTTGAAGAGAGTTGGATGCTTAATTCGCTTTCTTTGAGCGTTTTGTTATGCCAAAATCTTGAACCCTTTTTGGGGGAGGTACCAGAAGAAATGCTCCGATCTCTACAATTTTTATAACGGATCTTGCGCTCATGGAAATGTTGTCATGTAGCAAGTTTGGATGGAATCGAATGTTAATTTCGCGACTCTTTGTGGGGGAGGTACCTGAAGCACAATCGGATGCTTATTTTAATTTTTATGATCGTCTTGGTTATTAAGCGTTGACCCTTTGTGGGGGAGGTACTAGAAGAAGTTGTCCGATCTCTACCATTTTTATACCCTCAGCCATATGGCTACAGAGGGTATATATCATTTGATACGGCCAAAACGTGCCTAGTCGGTTGGTCCAAACGGTCTAAAACCGTTAGGCGATCTAAGTTTGACAAAAATATTACGATGTACCAAGTTTGGACCAAATCGGGTACTACCTTCGAGAGATATCGTGCGCACCAGTTAGACAGACGGACGGACATCGCTAGATCGACTCCAAACATCTTGAAACGGATTTGGTCCAAAGAGACCTAGGGTCTAAGACCGTTATTTCGACTAGGCACGTTTTGGGCCGTACCAAATGATATATACCCTCTCTAGCCATATGGCTCAAGGTATAAAAAAATGTAAAAATTATGGCGTTTGACTTTGTTGCAGTGTTTTTTTATATCACCCCGTATATCAAATTATCCCAAGAACAAACTTTGAATGTATATAAAATCAAAAGGTGTTGCGAAGCGCACCGGCATCAGCTGGTGTCCTATATTGGATTTTGAACTGCTTAGGGAAGGTACCAGTAGTTTTGGGTCGATTATAGCCATCATCAAAATCGATATACGTTTTGTAACAATGTAAGAGTGGATCAGGTTTAGACCAAATCGGATATTCCATTCGCCAGTTATTGTGTCCACGTTTAAAGGGACATGGAGGGTCTAAAGTCCTTAGTGCGATTTGGCATATTTTAGCAATATCAAGTGAATTCGGCATATCTAAGTGGGCTAAGTGGGTATCAATTAACATCTAAGAACATTATCAAGTTTTTCAACGATATAGTAGATAATACTTTCTTATTGCCACCCTAGAAAAGTTTCATAATATCTGTATTTCAATATTGATGTAAAACATTTCAATATTTTCATCATTTAGAAATCGATTAACGAAATAAACAAAATGCAAGGGAAGATAGTGAAAAAGCTTTTGGCTTTGTGTGTGGCGTACGAAAGATAAACAATCTTCACTAGGTGCAATCGAGAGATAAGTTTACCCTTTGGTGCTTAATAGTATTGATACTGTACATAACAAAATGTACTGTACAAAATCAACAACTCGAAATGTTGTACAGGCTTTAAAGTTCCCCCTACGATGTTGTTGAAAATCTTCTTGATTTTCGGTAGTTTGGAGGTTTCTGCCCCAATTTACATCCAAATCATATTTTGGTTCTCAAAAAAAAAAAAAAAAAAAAAAAAAAAAATATATATATATATATATATATATATATATATATATATATATATATATATATATATATATATATATGTATATATATTTATCATCGATTTTAAGTCAAGTTTTCGTCGCTCCAAACTTAATGCCTCTTGTACTTGTTTTTGTATGAACCAGCCCCCGATACCCCCTTTTGGTATAACATCCATATACCAGTTCCATGAAAACTTTTTAAATTTCAATATTTAATTAAAGTCCTTTCATCATCTTTTTGAAATTGATTAACGAAATATGAAAACAAAAGACCAGGCAATACAGTTGAAAAAAAAGCTTTCTTCGTGTGGCGTTCGAAAGATAAACGCAAAGGCAAAAGTAAAAACAAGCTCAAAAACACACCCGCACGCCACTGATTAAATCCAGCTGCCGGCAATCAAAAAAACAAAATACTCGCTTCACTGAGAGCCACCATCGCTTGTTTAGCTTTTGTGTTCGTCTCTGTGCTTAAATAACTGCTATCAACAAGTTTCAGCTTCAGTTTGAGAGACAACGGTCAAGCGATCGTAACCGAAAACGGCGTTTTAAAAAATAAAACTTAAAATTGTGTGTTAAAAACGAAGCTTGTAAACAATAAATTCAAAACAATTTAAAAAACCAAAATGTGGGTGGAATTTGTGATTCTGTTGTCGGTGGTTCTATATCTGCTGTATCGCTGGTCGACCGCCAATTATGATTTCTTTAAAAAACGCGGTATACCCTATGCCAAACCGGTTCCGTTGTTTGGCAATTTCATGGAAATGGTGTTGCGTCGCAAATCCATGTTCAATATTTTCATAGAGATCTATAATCAATACGATGGAAAGTAAGTGTTGAAAACGATTTTTTAGGAATACATTTTAAAGTTTATATTCTGAAAGATTATATAATGAACTATAATCAACAACGAACACTGGAATGAAATTCAAGTGCATTAAAAATAAATAGATGTCCAATATCAGGGTTAAATATATGTCCAATTCGGTGCATAATTTGCATTTGGGATATAGTTAACACTTTAAAAAAAAATGAATAAATAAAATAAAAAAATATTAAATCCTCATTAACAGGATTTTATAAGTAAACTTGGATTTACAATAAAATGATAGAACTATCATAAAAATATATATATTTTTACGTCTAGAGATATTTTAAATACAGTACGAATGCAGAATCTGCATTGTTTTTCGTCCCAAAAAATCCAATTTCAGTGAGTCCTAAAGATTACAAGCGTATTTCCTCTTGCTTACAATTTCAATATTAGAACTGGCGCCAAACGTGCGAGGGCTTTAATAGAATAAATGACAGTTCAAACTTGTGCTGGAACTAACTATCCTCTTGCGATTGGAAAGCTCCCACCGGGGGACAATCTTAAAAATATATCGGTTTTATATTTTAAATGTTGTATTCAACGCATTCAATGGTCATTTTAAAGTTTAAATGTTAGTGTATGGCGCCCAATGGCAGGCATACTTCTCTTTCACATTCAGAATAATTGAAAATAGAATAAAAACCAATATCTATGGGATTATTTTAAATCAATAATTAAATTCTATGATATCTGGAGAGTTATTCCAAAGAATTGGGGTTGAAAGGCGTCCAAAAAAGAAAAACAAAAAAAAAAAAAAAAAAAACAAGTAAAAAAATATTAAGTTAGGCCGGACCGAACTTTTAATACTCTGCAAAATACCGAATATCGGTGGATTTCGTTATATGTGTTCTATAGGAAAACGTGGACCTAAATATGCAATGTTCTGCCGTCGGAGGTAGAACCCATTGCGAACTACAAATACCAATTTTAAGACAAGTCCGGGGAAAAATTGTGGCAAAAATCATCAAAATACTTAATATCCGGAGGTACCATAATGTGGGGGCTATATGTAAACGTGGACATATATATACTATGTTTCGCCACAGGAGCTACAAATGCCTGAATCCGTGAAAAATTGTCGGAAAGTACCGTTATATGGGGGATATACCAAAACGTAGGCCTATATATACTATGTTCCGCCACCGGAGCTAGAACCCATTTTAGAGAAATCCGTGGAAAAATGTGTGTGGGGTTATACGAAAACCTGGACCTATACATATATATAAAGTTCCGCCACAGGAGCTACAAATACCTATTTTTGGACAAATCCTAGAAAAATGGTGTCAAAAATCATCAATATACCGAATATCGGGAGATACTGTCATATGGGGACTATTAAAATAAAATGTTTCACAACAGGAGCTAGAACCCACTATGACCTACAAATACCAATTTTTAGACAAATCCATGGAAAAATTGTGGCAAAAAATCATGAAAATACCGAATATCGGAAAGTACCGTTATATGGGGGCTATACCAAAAAGTTGACCTATATATACCATGTTCTGCCAACCGAGCAAGAACCCATTCCGAATTACAAATGGTGCCCAATAAAACCGCAAACTGATATTTCCAGGCTGAAACGTTGTAAAATGGCGCCCAATGCAAAACAAAGCATTCTCTATTAAATATACTGAATGTTGAACATAACGAATAATAGTTGGTAGCCTTAAATCCTCACTACATAATATTGGCGCACAAGTGAAGGCTTGCACATTCAGTAGGGAAATTTAAAATCAAATGTTTCAAATCATGTCTGGAAATTTATTCCAAAAACTTGGAGTCGAATGGCGCCCAATAAAAAAACAAATTGATATTTCCAGGCTGAAACGTTGTAAAATGGCGCCCAATGGAAAACAATGCATTCTTGGTTCTTTATATTATACGCCTATATTCTTTATTACAAAATATTTGCGCCAAGTGTCATTCAGGGAGTAAATTTATAATCAAAATTGGATCCTTATACAGGGCCCGCCATATACGATATTCTTTTTAAACTAGTGCTCATTTTGAAAGATGTGAAAGAATATAAGTTTTATCCTTCCGCTGAACGAATTTGGTTGGGTATACGCTTGAACAATGCTGGAACAAACAATGCTGCATTTGGGACGGAGAAAACATACATTAAAAAGCCGATGGTGTGGATTTTGATCAAAGGCAAAAGCAAGAAGTGGCCGTTTTGGTTAAAAAAGTGAAAAATATATTTAACAGACTTTTTATTTCGAAGAAAACTATTTCAAAGGATAATTATAAAAGTGGGGTACTTTACATTGAAAGTTAAAAATGCTTAAGAATGTTAATAGATGGCGAGATTTTCTTCGCAATTTCGATATTGTGATTGGCGCCCAATGTATCAAAAATTAAAGATAATAAAAGGGTAACATGTACTCGTATTAGGCCAAGGTGGAATTTAAAGAACAAAAAAAGGGGGGGGGGGGGTTGGTGTCATAACATCTGAAATCTGTTTTTTTTTTTGCAAAATGGCGCCCAACATAAAAAATAAAAAGGATAAAAACCAACCTAAGTTTGAATTAGCCTATCGATCGGGTATTATATTGCTTGGGAGATTTCTGGGATGGCGGTGGTGCCAATTTACTAAACATTTTAGAACAAGTAGCGCTTTGGCTTCTTTTTGATAACAATATAAAATTGTAATTGCCGAAGACTCTGCATCCTCAAATATGGGCCTTGAAGGATCCTCCATTAGATGGAGGGCATACCAATTTTGTCGTTCCGTTTGTAACACCTCGAAATATTCGTCTGAGACCCCATAATGTGTATATACATATTTGTTATTAGCATACAATTCTAGGTCCATTTAACGATGTCCGTCCGCCAGTATAATCATTCTTGAAAATTCTAATTTTTTGATTTTAACATGCGCAGTGCTCCTGAAATGATTTTTTTTTTTTAAATGGACTATATCTGTTCACATGCCTATATGTGCACATATATAATGGTACCATTTACGATTTAGCTGTAATTTCCAACAGAAGAGGCTGTTCTTTCAAATTTCGATGAGCTCCTCCTTTTTTCAAAAATATTCGAATAACGGCTATTTTTTGCCGGAATTTTCATACAAATCAACCTTTGAAGTGAACAGAGTTGGCAATAAGTCAAATTCACATTGTGGATGATATAAAAAATCGTCTCGGCCGAACTCAAAGTCATTTTTATTCCCTCAGCCTTATAGCTACATATTGTATACACCATTTTATCCAAGGTCTCTCCGGACGAAATCCGTTTCAGGACATTTGGAGTCGATTTAACCATGTCCGCCTATCTGTCTGTTTGAAGCGCGTATCCGATCCGATTTCGGTCAAACTTCGTACACCATAATATTATTGACGAACATAGATGGAGTTCAAAATTGTCAAAGAAAACAATTTACCTCAAAGAAGGAGTAAGGATCATTCGATTTTGCTGAAAATTTGCAAATTTTAATAATCATCAGTTTCTGTGCTAGGTCAGGTGCGAAAATGTATAATATCGACCCGCTCCTTATTGTATCTTCCCTAAAAAGGGCTCAAACTTTAAATAATCATAACTCGCATAAAATGTGAAATGAGAGATCTTAACATTTCGCATATCCTAATATTTATACCAAGAGGGTAATAATATTTATACCAAGAGGATAGAACGAACCACTCTTTCTGGTATCTCTCCTACCACGGGTACAAATTTAACGTAATATAAGGCTTATAAAATGCAAAGCTTATAAATGCAAAGCTTCCTATCCATTTTTAAGCCTGGCTCATCCAAATGTTGTTCCAATATAAAATCTCAGACTTTTCCAGATATTATGTCATACATTTTATCTAGATCCCTCCGGCAGATTTTTTAATATTTTCATGACTTTAGTCCAGTTTGAGTTGATATCAAATTCGAAATGGCGCCATCCCGTCTATACTAGGTTACATTCATACATTTAAGTAATAAACAACCTTGAACATGAACTTTGTTTGTAACGTCGTCGAAATGTATTTTCTATTCCATATCACATTGAGGGTCATTGTAACGACACACGCCCGATGTTTTTGTTTCTTGATTTTGCAATTTTGTGCACATGCATATCCCCCATCTTGCCTGCCTGCGTGAAATGTCTTCAATAACAAATTTATTAAATTTTCAAGATTATTAGCAACGGACAACGGTTAATAAATTTGAAAATTGTTTAGATACTGGAATACATGGAAGACAATGTGTATGTGGGTACTTTGAAGTCGTTTAAAACAATTGAATAATTTCATTACGGTTGATAGTTTTTATTATAGATTTTTATATGGGTTCTTCTAAAAATAAAATAGTAAAAGCGGCACCACGTCTAGTCAATTCAGTTCGTTACTTTTATTAATATTGTTTATTTGGACACCTTCAAAAATATAAAGCAAATATCGAGATGCGCGCAAAATTTAGGGTTGAAGTTTCAAAATAAAGAATGTGAAAATCATAGGTGGCCAGAAATTGAGAGCGAGTTTAGGGGAGAGCAATTAAACAACGTCTGACTTTGGCAAAGACTTTGTTTTTTATTACAGCAACGTGCATGGATGGATAAAATGCCTTATGAATTCGAAAAAAATATAAATTTCCAGACATTTTTCCCAATTTTAGAAAATCTTGCATACCCAACATCCAACGAAACGTACCTTTCACATTATGCTTGAACAATAATTTCAGAGAGATAATTAACATTTCATGAGAAAATAAAAGTGAGAAAAGAGAGATGAGCAAACAAATTAAAATCTTCTCATTACTTCTCCTCCTCCTATTAAATAACCCCCGTTTTTATATTGAATACTTAACTTGTCAGACTTATCACCTGTCACAACCGGCAGAATCACTTGGTATTCAAATTGTAAATAAAATGCTAATCTTTTTAAATCTTATTCATATCACTTTTGTACACATGGGATGGGGGTTTTGCGCCTATTTTATTAAAGTGCGTTGCGTTAAAA